TGTCTACTCTGTGTATGGAGGAGGTGGGAATGATTCTTGCTGTAAAGATTTGTTCCCTCTTTTGAGCTACTGCATCCATAGGTATAGGTCAGGTTCATCAAATTGTATTAGATTACTCTTTTTTTTTCCTCTTCTTTCTTCTTCTAGTTGAGCTCTGATCATCCAGTCATTGAAGCCAGGTCAAGTGGGTATTATCTGCAAGTTCTTGTGCATATGCCCTCTCTTCTTTTCAGCTGGATGCTTCAGTCTCCACTCTAGACCTCTGTAGCTATGTCACTGGCTGTGGGCTGAAGAGTCTCCCAGGTCTTGCCACACTGCTGGCCAACCAGGTCTCCACTCGGGTTCATAGGAGTCTATTGAACGTTGTAGGGCTTAGCTCACAGCTTCCTTGCTGTTTTTCCCTCACTTCCACTTATCACTGACGAACGTGATCACCAATCAGAGCGTATATTCCCATTGAGTCTTAGTCTTGGAAGGGGGTTTACTTTGAGGTGACCCCAGCACTTGCCTTGATGTCTCCTGGGCGAAACTCCATTATACATTTGTTGTTGGTATGTGCTGTGGAGTCGGTTCCGACTCATAGCGACCCTACACAGGGTTTCCGAGGCTCTTACAGAAGCAGACCGCCTCATCTTTCTCCCACAGAACCGCTGGTAGTTTCGAACTGCTGACCTTGCAGCTCGCAGCCCGATTTGTAACCACTACGCTACCAGAGATGTTCAAAATTTATTTGTTTGACCATCAACGGAGAAGAGCTGAGAGCGGGACCCCACATAGAGAAGCAGCGAGGCCCGAGATAGAGGCAGAGACGATGATGTGGAGTGATGAAGCGACTGGGGACTTTGGATCCAGAGAGGGAGAGGGACTGTGTGCTGATGACCGAGGAGGGGGTTTGTAGGGTATACCCTTTGGTGGGTTGATGATGCATGGGAGGGGATTGGAACCATGGCAATGGAACGATATACGGTAGAATGAATGTAAAACTGAAGTTCTCTCATGTAAACTATCATATAATTCACAATAAAACATTTAAAAATTTTATTTCTGTTTAATACAGAGAAATATGCTACTGTCCTCTATCAAAAAAAAAATAACAACCATCTGGTGCTATTGCCTAGTATAAGATCCTATAGTTTAAAAAGTAAATCAAGAATTTTTCTAGCCAGTGAGTGTCTAGCTGGAGGGGGTAGAATTAAGAGGGTTTGGTTCCTTTAACTAATTACTGTTACTCGTTTACATATCAAATAATTTCAAGAGCAAAAAAGGTAACTAATTAGTTTTGATCTGTGTAAGATACAGCCCAGTTTATTTATCTTAACACTCTTTTCTTTTTTGTAAGTATTTTTGAGTCTTATTTGGAATAAATCAGCTGTACTTTACCTTAACTGGTCAGAATAGGGATTACAGTAAGACAAGTGGGAACTAAGGGAGCAAAAGAAAAGAGGTGACATTCGTATTAGGAGAATCACTGTACCCCAAGTTGATAGTCTTTTCCATTGAAGTAAATTAACTAAAATAAAATAGGATGAAATATAAAATATTTTCTTATCTTTACTTTGTTCTGTCTAGTGCTTAAAAATCACATTTTAGGATTTTTTTAAATTAGAAAAATTAGTTATTTTTTAAATGTATCAAATTCTCTAATATCTTAATAAAAAGCATATGGTATGATAAGTATACTGTAGTTATCTTCTAAACAGCTTTCTATTTCTATCTCAGATGACTTTTTCTGTAAGTCACTTTCAAGGTCATTAAACTTTCATGCTCATTCTTGATCATCTTTTTTATATTCTTGTTTCTTTCGGATGATTCAGAATACCTTTCCTAGGTATTTAGTAAACCTGACGTATTGATGATGACTGATTGGTGAAATTTCTTAATGTTACCTTTTTTGCTCTTGAAATTATTTGATAGCTAAATGAGTAGCAGTAAGTAGTCTTAATCTTTTAATACCAGCTTGCTAGACTGGTAAGGTGTGTCTCGGTTTTATTGGCTTCATTGGCACCTACAATACTTTTTTTTTTTTTTTAAGCAGCGGCAACTAAATTTGTTGTGTAGCATTATAATAGAATTTTCTGTACCTAAATCTTGACTTTAAATTGAGAAAGCAATTTAAGCTAGTAGATTGGAGGCTTACATGGTGTATACAATTACTGGTTTTGAGCTCTTTGTTCAATTAGTATTCCTATTTGTAAAGTTTTTTTTAAAAAGGATTATTTATTACTAAGGTGCTGTAGGATGAGCACTGGACTGCTAACCGCAAGATTAGCAGCCTCTTTCTCAGAAACCCTCTACAGGGTTCTTATAAGTTGGAACTGACCCTTAGGCACTTAACAACAACAACTTAAAGGGTAAGCAGAGATGTAATTGTAGTCATTTGGGGTTGACAAATACCTCATAAAAGTAAAATCTTTGTTATTACTTTCAAAAGAATTCTTCATTAGTTTTAGCCTTGTGGTTGTTGTTAGTTGTCCTTGAGTTGATTCCAGCTCATGGTGACCCAGTGCATGCGAGTAGAACTGTTCTTAGGGTTTTTCAGATTATGATCTTTCAGACACGGAGCTCCATATTATGAGCAGCTGGGTGATTTCAAACTGCCAACCTTTCAGCTAGTAGCCAAGCATTTAACTATCAAGTGCCACCCACGGGACAGTTTTAGCCCTAAGTTTTATTGTTTTGCCATTGAACTCACAGGCAACCTTAGCTAACAGATTTAAAGATGTGCAAATTTTATAAGAGCTTTCAAAACAAAATCTTTTGTTTTGTTACTACCAGAGAAATTTTAGTGTGTGCCTTCCATTGTTTTCTTTAAACAAGTTTCTTTTTTCTAAATTCTAAATACCAGCTTGCTCAATTAAAGTGGCCTTGTAATTCAGCAACATTATTTATTATTATTAGAATTTTTATGCAAAGATAAACATGTTAGGGAAATTTAGCTGGATTTGGGAAAATAAGAATGAGGAAAATACAAATAGTGATCCTTGTAGTCATTACTCAGAAACGAACCTTTTAAATTCACAAGGTCAGCCCAGCTAAACAGTTGCTTACAGTAGAAAATTAGCCTTAGAAATAGAATGCCCCAAATCAACACTTTTTAATAATAATGCAGTGAGTGATTGATGAGAGTCATCCAACCACAACTCTGTTGTTTAGAAGACTTTTTAGAGCTAACCACTTGTAAGGAGCTTTAGTAGTGAAGTGGTTACGAATCGGGCTGCCAACCTCAAGGTCAACAGTTTGAGACTGTCAGCTGTTCCGCAGGAGAAAGTTGAGGCTTTCTGCCCTCATAAAGATTTACAGCCTCGGAAACCCTGTGCAGGATCACTATGAGTCAAAACCAACTCCACGGCACACCACACCACCACCACCACCACTTGATGTGTTTAATTTTTACTTAAAGAGAGATGGCATGCCTTTCTGTGATTTATCAAATTATTATCATTAATTTCATTTTGGAAGCACTTTGGCTCTGTAAGATAAGCGCTGGACTGCTAACCACAAGGTCGGTGGTTTGAGCCCACCAGCTACTCAGATGAGACTTTCTGCTTCTGCAAAGATTTACAGCCTCAGAATCCTATACAGGGTTGCTATGAGTTGGAACTGACTTGACAGCACATAACAAAAAATTTAATGTTGACAGGTGTTTTTCACTGAGACTAATAGGTGATTGTTGTAAAGTGCTATTGAGTCGATTCCAACTTATAGGGACCTCGTATAGGATTTTCAAGGTGCAGCTGGTGGGTTTCAACTGCCGACCTTGTGCTTCACACTCTAGTGCTAATCCACACCAGGAGTCCATAGATAGTTAGAATTTATATATGTTCAGTAACTTTTCTTTCCTCTCCATCCCTATACCCCCCACTTACTATGTTTTATATGTTTATAGACTTATGGTACCACTCGGGCATCATATCAGTGTAGTTACTTCAACTCTAATCCATATGGTCACATAGATGAGGTGGGAATTGATAAGGGTTTTTGTTTGTTTTTAACTTTTTATTGTGAATTGTGTGAAGGTTAACAGACAAACCAAATCATGTGCTTTGCAATCCCTTCCCTGCAAAAACAGTTATTCTGCTTCCTCACAGTGGCTTTCTTTTTATATCTTATTTTTTGCCAAGCAAAAATGTTTGATGTATACATATGAAACAAAAAAAATATATTCATTTAAATGTCCGAAGGGCACATTTTGGAAGCCAACCTCCTGCCCGTAGGCCTACAACCCATGGGCCTAGATAGAGTCAAAGTAGCTACTCTGTCTTTCCATGCCATCAATCACTGCTTTTCTTCATGCTTCACTCATGCTCTTCCTTCTAGATGGTCCTAGGATCCTCTGTTTGTTTGTTTGTTTGTTTTGCCACCTCTTTGTATTTTGTTGTTAAAGATAATGAATTTACTTCTGACATTAGAAAGCTTGTCTTTCATATGGGTCTGATATAGAACTTTTATGGGTTAGGTATCTGAAAACTATTTACTCTTCAATTATCATATGAAACCAGCCTAAATCCTTAACTTCTGTCGTACTTGAGTTCACTAACAAGTACTATAATAATAATATTGCCAAAAAAACTAAGCCCATGGATTCATGCCCATATGTGGGTTAACTGTTCAAAATAGTTGAATGCTGTGTTGATTAATACGTAAGCAACACTCACAAAAGATGTCTCAGCCAATTAGATCATTTGGCATTCTTCTTAGCCAATAACTTTCTTTGCCCAAAACACAGCAGCAGATGTTAATACCAGCCTAAATTTTTCCATAGCCACATATAGAAGCCATGGAAGTAAGTGACCCTACTATCTGATTATTCTTTAATGTTTTCTTGTGGTAAACCCAATTCTCACTACTCAATTCTGACCCTGCATGGACCACCTTCTGCAGACAAGTCAGAGAAAAACCAGGATGGTAAGAAAGTAGCCTAGTGTAAGGATGGGAGGAAATTAAAAATCAAAGTTCAAAGGTCCTGCCTTCATTAATGTTTCTATTTTTATGGCTTGCAGGGGGTGAAGCCTGCCAGTTTTGACAAAGTAGCAATTCCTGAAGTGAAAGAAATTATTGAAGGTTGCATACGGCAAAATAAAGATGAAAGGTAAATTGACTCTTTTGACCTCAGTGTTTCTGAACAAAAACCTAAAATGTAATGCGCTCTGATTATAAAAGTACTCAACCCCAGGTGTACTACATATTGTGAGTTGTTTTTCTGTTTATGCCATATAACACTTTTGAAAGTAGGGATTCTGCCTGTTGAGGTTTATTCAGATTTTTGTATGCTGGAATGTGATTATGATTCAGTAGAGTTTAAGTAAACCAGAGCTACTTTAAATATATTTGAGATTCACTGAGAACCATGAAGGTACTTCAGAAAGTTTGTGTAAAAAAATTCCTTTATTTTTTCATTCCATTTTTTCACAAACATATTATAACAGCAGCATGATATTCAAAAAAACTCAATAGGATTCATTCAGTCTCTTTCTAATACAGATCTTTCCTTAGGTCTTTACCCATTGAATTTTAAAAGGTGAAATGAAATCTTGACTCTTTAAAATCAATTAAGCTATATAGATCCTGATTTACTGTCATTATGCCAGAATTGAAGAAGAGCAAAACATCAGAATTCTTTTGTGTAAAAAGAGAAGACTTTGCCTAAGGCTTAGGAGGAGCTCTGGCTTAGTCATTTGTACTAACAGAGGAATTTTCTCAGAGGAGTGGCAAGTATCTGATTTACCATATAGCTGATTCATCACCAGTTAGGCATGGCAAGTGTCCAGTGTCTAGGTTTGAAAAACAGTCTACCTTCACTGCCCTCCACAACACCCTCGAAAAGAAAAAGTAGACCAGTCAGTACAAATATAAATTGTAATTGTGTGTAATCTACCTCCTGAAGAATGTGAGCAGCAGATCAGGTGTATCAATAAATTAAAGAATTTCTTATCTTTACTTCTCCAGTCTCACACTCTTTTCATAACTTTGTTGTTCAGAATAGCTTAACATCATGATCTTTAAAGCTTTTTTAGTAGAAATTTAGTTTGAGTTTCTATTTTTACATGTAGGGATTAGAAAGGAGAATCAGTATCTGTAAGACTGTTTTCACTATGCTCAGAGGAATATTTGTTTGCAGTCTTAAAACATATTATTCTGTTTCTTTTCTGGATGGAAGAATTTATTAGATTACCGTATTTTGAGACCATTTATCTGAAGAAAATTTTTCCTTAATCAGACTTCTACTTGCTTAGTACAGAAATAGTTGAACCAAGGAATTAGAAGAATTTATTGGGGTAAATAAAGGTTGCTATAATCAAAGTTACTGAGCTAAAAATTCAAAAATTTATTTTTAACTTTTTGTGAATTGGGTTTTGCAGAAGGAGTCAGTTTTTCATTGAACAGTTAATATACAATTTGTTTCTTGTCATTGATTGCAATCCCTGCAATGTAACATCACTCATTCCATTTCCATTCCTCCACCTTTCCTCACCCTTCCTGCCTTCTTTACTTTATCCTTGGAAAAGTGCTGCCCTTTTGATCTTGAATGGCTGATTTTCTTAAGGAATACATACCTCTCTAGTGTTATTGTTCACCTTATAGACCTCTGTTATTCATCTGAAAATTGAGCTACTGGGGTGATTTCAGTTCCAATACTGAATAAAGGGTCTTAATCTTGAAGGAAAAAAGACTTCTTTTCTCAATTTCACTGCTTAGCGACTTTGAACAGATTCTCAACTTCTCTACATCTCTGGTTCTGAATAAGCAGGGAATTTTATCTCATTGAATCAGAAGAAATTAATATATTTAGGGATTTTTTTTTTGGTAGTTGTAAAATAAATGACTTATTTTGAAGTTGTGACATTTTTTATGTGTTACTTGCTTTTGTAGGTATGTAATTAATTAATATGAGATTAAATATTTGGATTTAAAAATCACCACTATCCAGTTCATCTTAAATAGGATTAAGTTATGATTTTCAATAACTATAGTAAAACTATAATCATCATTGAACTAAAACAATGTAGAAATTGCTTAACAACTTACCTTTTTCATTTTCATTCAGTCTTTTTTTATTCCTTCAAGTAAAACCATTAGCTACACTTGAAAATTATTTTTTCCATCTAATGTGGTTTTGCTTTGTTTTTGTTTCTTTTCTTTTTCTTCTCTTTGGAAGATACACAATCAAAGACCTTTTGAACCATGCCTTCTTCCAGGAGGAAACAGGGGTACGGGTAGAATTAGCAGAAGAAGATGATGGAGAAAAGATAGCCATTAAACTATGGCTACGTATTGAAGATATTAAGAAATTAAAGGGAAAATACAAAGATAATGAAGCTATTGAGTTTTCCTTTGATTTGGAGAGAGATGTGCCAGAAGATGTTGCTCAAGAAATGGTAAATAAAAAATGTAATTACTAATCAGAGATTTGAAAATTTATAGTCATTGGTATGGAAAGATATCTATAGCATTGTTTAACAAAAACAAAAAACCCAGTTTATGAAACTGTATATGATATCCCAGTGATAAAATTCAGTTAATTAATGGTCCTAGATGCTGGCATTTGAGTAGTGAAAGTTCCTAGGATTTTATCTTTAATTCCCTTTTTTTAAATTTTGTTGGATTTTGTGGTGGGGGGGTTAAGTTATTTTATTTGATGGAAAGATATATTCATGAAGATATGAATATATAGAAGAGTCCTTGTGTGGCGCTGTGGGGTAAAGTGCTGGACTGCAAGGTTGTTATGAACCACAAGGTTAGCGGTTCAAACTCACCACCCACACCTTGGAAACCCTATTCAGGGTTGCCATGAGTTGGAACCAACTTTGTGGCACTTACCAACAACAACAAAATAAATGTAGAGCAAGAGGAAGACATGGAGCGAAGGAAATAGAGAATACTAGAATTCATTCTGAAGTAATTTTGAAAATCTGTAAGGTTGAATGACTTAATTTGAAAAAGCCTCTTCAGTTAGAATGACTATTTTTTCTAAAAGAATGCCACATATTTGGTACATTAGCCTTTGATCAGTCCTCTGGGGAGTTATTGTTTTTAAGTGTAATCTAGTCTGTTCCAACTCATGATGACCCTGTATAAGGTTTTCAAAGCTTTTAATCTTAGTGGAAACAGAAAACCTCATTTCTTGAGTTGTTGTTAAGTGCCATCTAGTCAATTCTGACTCATAGCAACCTTGTGTAAGTTTCCGAGGAGTGGCTGATGGGTTTGAACTGCTTACCTTGTGATTAGCAATCCATTGTGTATCCTACAGTACTACACCAGGACTCCTCTGGATGAACACTAACAAGTAAACATAGGATCATAAATTGTTTTTACTTTCAAGAGAATTTTCAAGTAAATTATTACTTGAAATATGTCAAAAAGATCACTTTTTAAATGGAAATCCTTCATTGTTTTAGGTTATCTCAGTGCCTTAAATGGCGATTTATACAAAGATATTCTTAGAATATCTGTATTAGGAGTTACATAGTAGGCACCTCTGAAAAGGGGTCAGGTATGGAAAAGAAATTTAATTTTACTTGTTAGTTTTTGCTATTCTTTTTTAAACTTCATATAATCACCATAAATATTTTATCTGGTTAAGCAGTTGGCTATTACTGATTTGATGTGAGACAAAAATATAGTGATTAGAGTGTCTTACTTGGTTTGTAAGCTGCACAAACTGTTTGTTAGGTGCCCCATTGTTTGTTTTAAGGAGTGAAGGCACACCCACCAGAGTTTTTACAAAGATAGTGGGAAATGCATACTGCAGACTTAAATAATTTCACAAATTGGTTAAGACCAACCCTAGGAAAGTTCTTTCTTTCTTCTCTCTTACTTTTTTCCAGTGCCTTTTTTGTATTTGTGATTGTCGTTTGCTTTAGCTCTCTACTCTCCCTTTCACTATCCTGCTGCTTCCTAATGCACTTTCTTGCTCTCTAGGTAGAGTCTGGGTATGTCTGTGAAGGTGATCACAAGACCATGGCAAAAGCTATCAAAGACCGAGTGTCATTAATTAAAAGAAAACGAGAGCAGCGACAGTTGGTGAGGGAGGAGCAAGAAAAAAGAAAGCAAGAAGAGAGCACTCTCAAACAACAGGTAGAACAACAATCAAGTGCTTCCCAAACAGGAATCAAGCAACCTTCTACTACTAGTACCGGAATACCTACAGTCTCTGCCACTTCAGCGTCAGTTTCTACACAAGTAGAACCTGAAGAACCTGAGGCAGATCAACATCAACAACTACAGTACCAGCAACCTAGTGTATCTGTGTTATGTAAGTATTTGGGGAACTGAGCAAATATGCTAATGATACTCCTAGTTAACGTTTTATCTTAGTCTTCTGCATTTTTCACTGGTCTCTTGGTTTTAAATGATGACTCTAAGGTATAATAAATTTGAAGTGGGTGCAGTCTAGCTTCTATTTTATATTTTTATAATCATGTCTAATAGAAAGATGGTAAGTGAGAAAATATGATTGGAAATAAAATAATAGGTTATATAGGATCTTAAAAGATGTAGTATACAGATTTCTAAAGTTTACAATTCCTTTAAGTATAATTAGTAATGGAAAACGAACACATTTTTCTTAGTGGAAAAGTGCTCAAAATTGAGCCCATTAATCTGGTTCAGCTCTTTTAGCAAAACTGAATAATATAGATTAAAAATTAATGACACTGCTAATTATTAATTGAATTACCCACTTAATTCTGAAAATCAAGTGGTCTCCAAAGTATGACTTTGAAAGCTATATCAACATTACGGCTGACTGACAAAGTTCCATTTTCTTTCACTTACTCGTTAGGTAATAAGATTCTATGGTGGTAACTAAGGAATTTTTTCTTACAGACATTAAGCCTTTTTTTCCAAACAGATCCCTCATTATGTATAGAAATCTACTTAATATAGTGACTAATATTCATATTTTGTATTCAGAGTTTTACTTACTTTAGACCTGTATAAAGAAAAAACTAATGAGAAAATGATGTGTATCTTTCTGTTTTTTGGTGATCCGTTTCTCTTTCAGCTGATAGGACAGTTGACAGTGGTCAGGGATCTTCTGTCTTCACAGAATCTCGAGTGAGCAGTCAACAGACAGTTTCATATGGTTCCCAACATGAACCGTCACTTTCTACAGGCACAATCCCAGGGCATACAGCTTCTGTTATTCAAGCACAATCTCAGCCTCATGGGGTATATCCACCATCAAATGTGGTAAGTAAATGCATAAAAGAGTGAAAATTACAGTGAGTACCAACAGATCATTTGCTAAATTCAGATTCTTTTTATTACTACCCAAGTGGCAGCTAAAGGCTGCAGTAGAAAATTTTTGGGTAGGATATACACATTAATTAGTCTGTAGGAATTAATTAACTTCTTTTGTGATGATTTAGACTAATCTGCATATGATCATTGAAATTTAAGCACATTAACTAGAAATACACGTTTGGGGTGTGGGGTGAGGAGAGTTTTTTTTAAAGTTTACTTGTTGAAATAATTAAGTATTTTTTGTGAGAGTTCTTATTTAAAGCACAGGTAAGACCTTCAAACCATTATAGAATGTTGCATGTGGGTACTCTAGAGTCAAGAACCCTTTATATGTGTGACTGTTTAATTTAGCGCTTCTGTTTAGTTAATCATCAGTTGCTATGCGTGTTCCTGCCTTAAAGTCTGTGTTGGATACAAGTTCCTTTCCCAGTATATGTTCATTTGCTTTTTTTCCTCTTTGTTTGGTATCTGTTTTATTTTTGGTTTATTTTTAGGATCAACTTATGAGGATTATTTCCAGAAATATTTTATGTGTGTTTTGAATTAGCCACTTTTACTTCTCATATAGAGAATGTAATACCCCACTTCTCTTATTGACTTTCTTTGAGGTCTTTAGAAGAAAATAAAATACATTATCTACCTTCAAAAGGAATTAGAGAATAACTGGCCACAGTATAGCACTTTTTTAGTGAGAGCAGGCAGATTTTCCTTTTTAGAAAGTTTTTTTGTTCTTGCTCTTCACAAAATGAAAATCTTGTTAATTTTCATTTAATCTGTTAATTAAGAAAACACTTCTGTCTATTATCATACAACTTGGATTAAAAGATGTTTGTTTGTTTCAGAGTCCATTCATCAGCCCTTCTTTATCCAGATCTCAAGATGAATAACCATAGTAGCACAAGAAATATTATATACTAATGTAGTGATATTTAAACAGTCTATAGGGAATACATATTTGCCCTTTAATGTTAGATTAAATTTGCCTTCACAGAACAAACTCCTATGTGTTAAATTCTGTAACACAGTCACCTTTACTTGATCCAACTTTAAAACCATTGAAAAGACTTTGAGGCTTAAGCAGTAAAAGACCCACAGCCATTGAATCAATTCTGACTAATAGCAAGCAACTCTATGTTGTTGTTAAAGTGCTGTTAAGTCAGCCAACTCATAGGGACCCTCTGGGGGTTTTCTGAGAAGCAGTTGTTTGGTTTGAACTGCCGGCTTTGTGATTAGTAGTCTAGTGCTTATACTACAGCACCATACTGAGAGACTATAGAACCAGAGTAAACCTGCTCCATTGGGATTCCGAAGCTATAAATCTTTACAGAAGCAGACTGCCTCATATTTCTTCCATGGAGTGGTAGTTGTGTTCAAATTGCTAATCTTTCAGTGAGTAGCGAAAGAACCATATTCACCTATTCTGACTAGCTTAAAAAATTCAACTTAAAGACACACTTATGAATTTGATCTTATTTTTAATGGGGGATTCCTATAGTTTTTAACCTTTAAACAAATTGTTGTCAAGTACCATTGAGTCCATGCTAACTCTAAACGATCCTGTATAGGGTTTCCAAGGAGTGGCTGACGGACTTGAGATACGAACCTTGTGGTTAACAGTCTAGTGCCTATGCTACAGCGCCACATCAGGAGTTCTTAAATAAATTAGGTAGAGTAAAACTTTACAGACCGTGTAGAAGATGTATTGGTATGCTCTAACAATATTACTTGTCAGCATGATTTTTTTTGCTGTTGGTTTTGAGTACTTTTGTTCTGATTTTTTTCTTGGTCACTATAACTGGATCTTTAAAAGTGTTTTATGCTCCTGGCTTCACTTATCATAGGATTATGTATATTTGAATGTCAGTTTATGAAGATATTAAATCTAAATCACAAGCATAGCCCTAGTTTATGGATCTTCTAAGAGCAGACAATTCCTTGCCTTCTCACAATATTCTAACTAAATAATCACTTGATAACACTTACATATATGCGCTGGTTCACTGTAAATTTAGCTCAAAGCATTCTACACAGCCAAATTTTAAAAAGAAATAACTGACTTGCCTCAGGACAACCTTACAGTAGTAGTTGCATTGCTTTGTAGTGGATTAAAACCTTTTCATTGCAAGGCTAAATCAAATCTCTTATATCTAAGAAACGTTTTTAAAGTTATTCTTTAGAGATAGAAAATTTAGACATTTTTACATTGACTTTTAAAATAAAACTACAGAAGGTTTTCTATATCTGGTTTTGAATTTCTTCTAGAAAGCCAAACCTTTTCCTAGTCGATGAGTAAAGATTGGCATGTGTGGTAAAATAAAATGCTGTGATCCGAAAACACTTTAAATCTAATGCCTTCTAAAATACCTGATGCCTTTCTAGAGCTCCTGCAAAATAACCTAGTCTTAAAATCTGCTGCATCTCATAATGTATTTTAAAGTAACAATTCTTTCTTGTTTATTAATAAATCTGTTCAAATTTTAAGCTGATACTGTTTTCTGTCTATTCTGCTGTCTTAAGTCAGTAAGTCATTCTTATTCATACACACACATAATAAATGGTGTTAATTGAGAATATTTAGTAAGGTATTTTGTTGTTATCATAGTAGTACCTAAAAAAAAGCCTGTACTTTGACCCACCATTGTAGAAAGAATAACACTGACCTGCCAGACAAGCTTTGTGGAGTTACGGCTCTGCTCGGGAAAATTGACTTTGATGAAATTAGGGAAGGATGGAACATTTCTTTATGTCAGCTATGCCCTGTTATCATTATACATTTGTTTATTTTTATTTCAAAGAACTGTATTTTCATGTGTGTTTGTTTTCTGTTTAGCCTCGTCGTGGCCGTAGCATGTCAGTTTGTGTTCCCCATCTTTCTGCTGTTCCCTCTCTTTCCTGCATCTCTCCCAGTGCTCCTTCCACCCCACCACCAGTGTTGTCTGCACCTCTTTCTCCTCCCCTCCTTTGGACTGCCCCTGAGGAAACTTTTGCCGAAAAGCTTTCTAAAGCATTGGAGAGTGTCCTGCCCATGCACTTTGCCTCTGCGCAAGCACCGACGCTCCAGCCTGCCTTTCCTGTTTGTCAGTACTGTATGTAACCATAAACTTCCTGACAAATGAAAATTATTACCAATGAATACATCCAGGCACCAAGGAAATTAATAAAGAACAGAACCACTTGTAGGATACCAATTCTTTCTGTAAGAAACTTCTATGAAATAAGGCTTTGAGGTGGGGAACAAAAGCAATGAGGTAGTAAGAGAGAATGCTTAAAAAGTCATTGGTGTATCTAAATGTGTGCCCAATAAAATGTTAGCTTCATTATATTCTCCCACCCCCAAGTAACATATACAAATCTGCATTTTAATATCTTAGTAAAAATGTATGTGACTTAATTTTGAACTCATTGCTGGCTGAATGGAAAGCAAATTTTCTTTTTATTAAACATACTCAAACATGTTTTCTCCTCACTTTGTTCTAAACATACACTAATGAAACTGGGTGGATTAATTTTCTTTTCCATGTTGCTACTGTTCTTAAGTGCCGTTGAGTCAGTTCTGACTCATTGCAACCCTGTATAGGGTTTCTAGGGAGCAACTGGTGAATTTGCCAACCTTGCATTTCAAACCAACCTTGCGGTTCATTATGAAAGTTGGTTTTAATTTTTTAACTGATTAAAATGATGTATCAGCAAGCTAAAAAACAACAACAGTATTCTCTCATGGAAATATTTTTTCTTAGCTTGAATTAGGGTTAGGCCGTGACTCTATAAAGAAATTGGCCTTCATTACATACATAGTTTGTATTCCTTTTTTTGCCCCACTCATATCTATAAATGAAGTATCTCTTTAAATTGTTTTAAGCTCTGTGGGACCTTGCTGCTGCTTTTCCAAATAGAGAATATAGTTAAGATTCTGATCTAGCAACACCCAAGTTTTTAAATTTTCATTTAGGACAATTACAGTGTTTTGTTACTTTAGGATATATCTTTAATAAACAGCAGTAAAATGAAGCATTTCTGATTCTGTACTTCAAAATAGAAATATTCTCTTAATTGTTGTGCAGAAGTAACATTTGAGCCACTTGAAAGTGGTCTTACTTTTAGGGATGGGAGATGAAACTGGCCTACCCTTTTAAAAAGGAGTCTGCAAAAGGGAATTATTTTTATATAGTGTGCTTTGTTTGCATTTGGTAAGCAAAAATACTAAATTTAGATTCTTTAGAAATGCTTCTGTTAATAAAAAAAAATGCTGTTAGATCAAGCAGGCTGTTATGTATGTTGTCTTTTTCACTCAATTTGAATACCAAATATAAAAATCAGAAAATTCATGGTTACTAAGCCCTTATCTAGGATCAGAAAATGGACATTTGGTGATTTGGCATGTGCAACATGTTTCATGTAGTGTACTATTCACTGTACATAACTAGGGATAGACAGAAGGTAGTAGTGTCACTGGTCATCTGTTTCTGTTGAGTTCTAATTAGAAGACTTGCTACTAGTTGATAAGAAATGACCACTGAAACCTCTAATATAGCACAGAACAAGAGTATAGATTAAAGGAAGACTTAACACATTTGCTTAAATTGAAGGATATTCCTTGTATTATAAAAATAGTTGGGTTTTATATCTTTCCACTGATATTATTTTCATTGTCATAAGAGTGAATGTATTAATTATAAGTAAAAGCCGAATATTCACTTAGTTAATTTCATTTTATTTTAGAAAGAAAACTTAAGTTGTGGGAAAGCAGCTCTTATCTAATGCAAAAAGTTCCACAGATTGGTGACATTGGCCCTGGATGTATTTAGTGGAAATTTAGTATGCACATAATTTATAATAAAAGTACTGTTATTTCTTTATTAATTATAAATTTGGTGTAACTGTTTCATAGGGTTACACAGCTATCCAGTTGTGCATGTCTAATGTAATTTTACATATGAATGTATGAATTACTTGTCTTATTCATGTCGATACAGCCTCAGTCCATGGTGCATCCGTGTGGGGGGACCCCAACATACCCAGAATCACAGATACTTTTCCCAACTATTCATGAACGTCCAGTTTCCTTTTCACCACCTCCTACCTGTCCACCGAAGGTAGCCATTTCCCAGCGGCGTAAGAGCACCTCCTTCCTGGAAGCCCAAACTCGCCACTTTCAGCCCCTGCTGAGGACTGTTGGCCAAAATCTTCTTCCACCTGGTGGCAGCGCAACTAACTGGACACCAGAAACCATAGTTATGTTGGGTACAGCAGCCAATAGAATAACTGGAGAGCCATGTGAGATACAGGTCCATCCTATGCATGAACCAACTCAAGCTTACAGTGACTATAGATCTGGACTAGTACCTCCAGAAGAAACTCAGTATTTTATTCCTCAGGAAGCAGTGTATCTAGCTGGGTTACATTACCAGGCCCAGGTGGCAGAACAGTTTGATGGGATTGCATACAACTCACCAGTATTGTCAAGTCCTTTGAAGCAGATACCTGAACAGAAGACAGTACAAGGGGTTCCTCCTTCAAGTTCTGTCTTTGAATTTCCATCTGGACAGGCTTTCCTGGTAGGACACCTTCAGAATTTAAGATTAGATTCTGGAGTGAGTCCAGGATCTCCCCTCTCTAGTATTTCTGCACCTATCAGTACAGAGGCTACACATTTGAAATTTCACCCTGTCTTTGTACCTCACTCTGCGCCTGCTGTGTTAACTCATAACAATGAGGGCAGAAGCAATTGTGTATTTGAATTTCATATTCACACACCAAGCTCCTCTTCAGAAGGAGGTAGAGTTGTACCTCAGCATGTTTACCGAAATCGGCAGGTTACAGTGGACTTGAATCAAGAAGAACCACCTCCTCAATCAGCTGGATTACATGGCCGCCTGCAGCCTGTGACTGAAGAACAGAGTAATTACCATGCCCCAGAACTGAGTGTTTCTGTGGTAGAGACTATCGGACAGAACTGGCCAATAGGAAGCCCAGAATATTCCAGTGATTCCTCACAAATTACTTCTTCAGACCCCAGTGATTTTCAGTCACCTCCCCCTACAGGGGGAGCAGCTGCATCTTTTGGCTCTGACGTCTCATTGCCCTTTATCCGTCTGCCTCAATCAATGATGCAAGAATCCCCACTTTTCTTCTGTTTCCCCCAAGGAACCACATCTCAGCAGGTCTTAGCTGCTTCATTTCCTACAGGAGGATCTGCACTCCATCCACAGGTTATAGGAAAACTTCCACAATTCTTTTAAACTACTTTGTTATGCACCGTTACATTTAAGTTTTCTGTCTCTCCTTGTCCTGAATCATGGATTTATGAGGAACACAGCTTAATTTTATCAGTAGAGTTTTCCCATATTTGGGGGGGTTATAAACTACTAGTATCTGAAAATAAAACTTGAGAGAAGCTACATAATATACTTACAATATGTGCAGACCCTTGGAAAATAAGTTCCCCAAATTAGAATTTTGTTCATTTTACTCATCACAATCATTCGCTTCTATCCATATATGTAAGATATTTAAAACTAGTAGTAAAAATACAAGTGTATATAATATAAGGTTGACTCAGCAGTGATTATTTAGGATTAATAATGTGAAAATGTGAAATATTTTTTATATTTCTTCCTAGAATGAAATGTGACTACTTAAAAAAAGAAGTTAAAAAGAAAAAAACTTCTTTTCCCCCTACAAAATGGAAATTAGGGAACACTTGGATTACTATTACGTATTAATACAAAGAACCTTCATTAATGGTGGTGGTGTTGTTGTTGTTGTTAAGTGCTGTTGAGTCGATTCCGACCCATAGTGACCCCATGTAGGGTTTCCAAGGAGCAGCTGGTGAGCTTGAACTGAGGACTTTGTTCAAACAACTTTGCAGTCTGGCTCATTAACCCACAGTGCCACAGGTGTAGAAGTAGTTTAATAAACAGAGAAAGAAGAAAACAGTATACGAATTTGCCTTAAAAGAAGATGCCTTTTTTGAAATGGCATCAGACAAATCAATATGTACTATTTTTTATTTGTCCAAATATAACAGTAATCCACAAAATTAAGGGCTAATTCTGGTTTTCAGCAACTGAATTAGAATCTAGTAGGCTGTGGGCTTATTGTTTTATCTTTAGAATTTATGATATATGTTGCAAGCTAAGAATTTTAGAAATCTGGAGCCTTGTTTTTCCTTAAATTTAAATATAGTTAAAGACAAAGTATCCCAAATAGGAATAATAAAATTCAAGGAATGAAATTACTATTGACTGTTTTCTATAGTCCTTGATACATTTTATCAGTTATATACCACTTAGAAAATTTAATTGGAGAGTATGCAATTGTGTATCCAAAACCTATTTGGATTTTTATATATTCTATGCTTTTATAAAGTACAGTAAGCCCTTATGTTTTTCCACATCAGGAACATAATCCCAGAAAATACAAATTAGAGTACTACTGAGAAGCAAAAGTTTCCAGAAACTTGAAAATTATACTGTGTGGGAATGCTGTATCCTCACAGCAGTACTGTGTCATAGTCCCTAGTGCAAATCATAATGCATTGCTGGCCATTCTCCTTTAAACTTTCCAAAGTGAATTTTGAAATATTAAATAGGATGTTTAATTTATAGGCATGAATGAAAACTTAGAATAATATGTCATTTCCTAGTAAACTTTAAGAACCCTTTGTAAACTGAAATGAACCTTTTCATTTCCTTTATCTACCCACTTCTCACTTTCTCATTTAGATTTTTTTGTCTTTATTTGAACTTAGACTTCTTGGTAATGGAAATCCTGTGTTTACATTTTAAACTAGATAATCTTTGCTGTATGGGCTGTTCTGTGCATTGCAGGATATTTAGCAGTAACCTTGGCCTCTACTCTCTAGATGCCAGTAACATGCTCTTCTACTTGTGACCACTACAAATGTCTGCAGCTGTTGCCTCATATCCCTTGGGGAGGGGGACAAAATTGTTAATGGTTGAAAAGCATTATTATAGGTATTTAGCTGTTGATGGTAATAACAGATTTTTCTTACATTGCTAATTTAAGTCAATATGACACTATTAGAAGTAGCAAAAGCTACCAAATTAACATTGATTTTGTTAGTTGTTTTTTTTTTTTTTGTCGCTATACAAAACTTTTTTACACTGATCATCTTAATCACTTTTTTCCAGATTATTCTATTTCTAAAACAACTTTATTATGAATGAATCTTACTATTAGTATATATCATCGTCAGCTAAAATTACAGCTTAGGCAGCAGTGGTAGGTTAGAATTCACCTGTCAGTAATTTTTGCGTAGAATCATAACTTTGTAATATGACTCTTCTCTAAGTTTTTATTATGAAAGATGCCCCAGAGACCTTCCTATATATATGTCATCAAATTGATGTTTCATTTTCATGTGAGCTCTTAAATATTTATTGCAAAAGTCTGTCTTCTGTATTCTGTATAGTCACCTTTTATATACTCCTTTAATTTGTTATATTCACTTCTTTCCCTCAGGCACAGGGGCAGAGCCAGGGTCAGCCAGCCTCAAGTAACTTATCAGGGATGCAATCTCCCCAACCCATACAACATCCTCAGCAGGTGGGAACAACTTGTTGCTAGAATCTATAGATTAACACTGTTTAACATTTTCCATGAATTAGATTCTTGATGTGAATAGCTTATTAAGTTTTGAAAGGAAAATTAGGAAGACTTTGTCTTTATGATATATTTTTTAAAATCTAATAAATTAGATATAAATTAAAATTTTAAAGAATTGTTACTAATATGTTATAAGCAGGGGTTGGGAATGTCTGTCCCATGGACCGTGTAAGACTCATGAAATTATTTGGTCTGCCCCTGCCAAGGGAACCGCAGTTCCATCTATCATATTAGGGTTGAGTTAAGTAAATGTTTGACCAAATATAACAGATTATTATTAATTTTTTGTCCAATATGGTGTTTTTTAATGTTTTATTGTGAATTATGTGATAGTTTATATGGGAGAACAATTAGCTTTACATTCATCCTATCGTATATCGTTTCACTGCCATGGTTACAATCCCCTCCATACATCATCAACCATCCAAAGGGTATATATACCCTGCAAGCCTTCCTCCAGCCCCACCCCACTCCCTGTCATCAGCACACAGCCACTTTTCCCTCCTCTGGGTCTAAAGTTCCCAGTCGTCCCATCTCTCCATGTTGTTATTAGGTGCCATTGAGTCGGTACCCGTAGTGACCTTATGCTTAGCAGAACGAAACACTAGGGTATCAGATTTTATGCTAAGAGGCAGTGAATGAAGGCCTATAAAAAAGTACTTCAGGAATATAACCCAGAAAAAATTTTAAACTTATTTAGGGTTGTATTCCATAAGGTTCAAGGAACTCAAAAGATAAGCATAGTGTATTCACCAACTCAGTGGCACCTAACAACAACATTCAGTGACAGAAGCTGGTCATTCTAAAATTAAGTATCTGTAGTTTATCACCAGCATTGGTTAATTGTGATTGTATTTTGCATAGAATAATGCTTTCTTTGTGCAGTTGAATATTTATTGACTGCTTCCGTTATAATCACTACATGGTCATAAAAACTGCTTGATGAATTATCTCATTGGTAATTACTTAAGAAATGGATTTTTTGATCACCAAATTATAAGTAGACTTCTGTTTCTACTAGTTTTTGAAACAAAACTTTTAATTCTCCTTATAATAAATGGCTTGCTTTTAGTCCAGAAAGTAGTCATGTAGGCGTTTGATACCAGCTTAAGATTTGGTGTTCTTAAAAATCACTTTTAAGATATTTTGTACAGAAAGAATTGACCAATTTGGTTATACATGCATTCATTCAGTGACCAACACTTTTCCATATTGTTGTATTTAAGAGCTGAGAATTTTTATATGCTTTGTCTTGTCCCTTTCTTTCAGACTAGGTATTAAATAGTCACATTTTTTGCCAACCTCAATAAGCTTGATTATATTCTATTATCGGTCACATACTGATTACGAATCGGGTTGCAAACCTTAAGGTCAGCAATTCGAAACTACCAGCTGCGGGAGAAAGATGAGGCTTTCTGCTCTCGTAAAGATTTGCAGCCTCGGAAACCCTGTATAGGGACGCTATGGGTCAGAACCGACTCTACGGCACTTAACAACAACAACAGTAAGAGTATACAGATTTGATGTGGTGCTGCAGGATATGCGCTGGACCCACAAGGTCAGTTTGAACTGCAAGTTCACCAGCTGCTCCTTGGAAACCCTGTACAGGGTCGCTATGGGTCAGAACCAACTTGATGGCATTTCACAACAACAATGACAACAATGTATGTTTAGAATATTTAAACACTCAATTTATAAAAGAAGAGTCAGTTCCAGCTCATAGCAACCCTGTATGTACAGGGCTTCCAAGGAGCGGTTGGTGAGCTTGAACCACCAACTTTATGGTTCAAACCAATCTTGCAGTCCAGCGCATTAACCCACAGCACCATCCAGTCAATTCCAATTTACTAGCGACCCTGTGTAGGGTTTCCAAGATATCTAGGATAGTGTTTCTTTATTTTACTGTGTTATATACAATATGGAGACTTATAATTTTGCAAAAATACCCAAGACGCTGCCTTTGTTCTAGATACTGGGGTTTTGCATTAAAAAAGTAAGGTTGAAAGCCTGCTATACTATATGAATAGTTTTTTAATGAGTACATTTCAAGAAAGAAATGTACTTTAACTGAAATGGATTTTACATATCAAAGATTTCTGGAACATATTGTGAGGGATTGCTTTTTTAATGTTTTTGTCAAGGCTCCCTACAAGTAGGAGGTTATCAGAAGTAGCCCCTTCCTACCAGGAAATAGGGTAGTTTATAGAGAGCATCCAACAGAATTGGTTTTTAAAAGCAGAACAAGAAATTAAACATAGATATGCCCTTATTCTTGGAGGTGTGATTTCACTAATCTAAGTGAAATAAATACACATACATCATTGTAAGAGACTTGTTTAAAGATTATTTTAAGAAATTCATTTAAGACTACATGAATGTAAATCTACAAGACAAATGCAGGGGCAAAACAAACAAATAAACAAACCCCAACTCTCCTAATACTTAAACCAGGACCTCAAAACAGTTCAGCCCATTTTAGTCATGGCCAAGGAGTGACACTGAAATAGACCCAAGTGTTTTGAATTTTGGTGAACTGGAAACATAACCAGAATAGGAAAAATTATGGGTCGCAACCCTGCTAGAAATTTAATCTCTCTTTTATGGTAGCCTAGGCAAAGCCGTTTGAACTGCAAGGTTGGCAGTTCAAACTCACCAACTGCTCCTCAGAAACCCTATACAGGGTCGCTATGGGTAGGAACCAACTCAACAGCACTTAACAACAACAACAAATGCATTGCATAGCAACCACATTTCTTGTCTGAAGAATATGGGAAACAGCTGTGCCTAGTGCAGAGAAAGTCGCTGAGTTCTCACATCTTTGAATCTGTTGTTGCTCTTCATAGTTTTCACCAATAGCCCATTCTCCTGAATCAGACTTTTGAAAGGGGTCACTGCATTCCTTCCAAGTTTACTATTCCAGGGCTTCAGCTCATAATTTTTTCTGTTCCAGTTATTGTTCCTGTTCACCAAAAGTTTTTAAATCCAGTTCTTATGCAGTTTCACATGGTTCGCCATGGCTAAATCATTCCAGACTAGTTTGATGCAAACAGGTGTTGATCACAGCACATTTTCTCAAGACATGAAAGGAAAGTGTAGGGCTCCAGAAAACTATTGTTGTTGTTGTCAGGTGCCATCGAGTCAGTACCGACTCATAGCAACCCTATGCACAACAGAACGAAACACTGCCCAGTCCTGGGCCAACCTCGTTACTGTTGCCACGCTTGAGCCCATCATGCTGCCGCTTGGCCAATCCATCTCTCTGGGGGGTGTTCCTCTTTTTCTCTGACTCTCCACCCTACAAAACATGATATTCTTCTCCAGCGACTGGTCCCTTCTGACAATATGTCCGAAGTATGAGAGGTGAAGTTTGGCCATCCTGGCCTCCAAGGAGCACGCTGGCTACACTTCTTCCAACACAGATCTGTTGGTTCTATGGGCAACCCATGGAACTTTCAATACTCTCAATACTAATAATGTAGACTCAGTGGAGCTAAAGACATTAATGTCTTAGCATATGAAGAGTTTGAATAGGGGGGCAAGGGACCAAACCCAATGCCATCGAGTCAATTCCAATTCACAGCAACTCTATAGGACAGAGTAGAACTGCCTTCATAGGGTTTCCAAAGCTAAAATTTTAGAAAGCTCTTTTAGATGGATAGATAACACAGTAAATATACAATCAAAATAGCTGATCATCAGCGTTAATCAATGAGTTCTCTGGCTATACCATGACTTAAGTAAAAGTTATTATGTATAGCAAAAAATAATAACCAAAATATTTATCATTAGTAAATTGATATCATTGATAAATGAAAGAAAATAAAAATAACATTTTGTAAGCAACATTTATAAAAGGGACATGCTTTTGTTTAAAAAAAAAAGTACACCTGTGTGTAAATGATCATTTATTCATGGAAAAACTCAGTAATGATGTTGCACCAAACCGTTAATTACGCTCACTTCTAGAGAATGGGAAAGGAGCATTTTCATGTAGCTTTGTATTCTGATAGATAGGATTTGTTTTTATTGAAAATTTTTATTACAAACAATTTTTTTTATCTAAAAAGTTAAATTAGTTATACGTAGTTAATATTTTTAAGTGCCATCAAGTCAGTTCTAACTCATAGTGACCATGTATAGAATTTTCAAGGTTTTTAAAATCTTTGCAGGAGCAGGAAGCCTCATCTTTCTCCCACTGAGCAGCTGATGGGATTAAACCACCGACCTTGTAGTTCGCAGTCATGTACTTATCCTGTGGAGCCATCTCACTCCCTGTTATAGGTGGTTGTTGTTGTTAAGTGCCGTCGAGTAGGTTGTAGAGGATCTTAAAAGTCAGCTATCAAGTTCAGATTTGTATTTGTTAGGTATGACATTGACTTAGGGTTAGTGGTCATGCTTTTGTCTGTTTGGTCTACTATAAGTAAGATTTATTATTTTGATACCAATTATTTGCATATCATTGCATGAGGTAACTTATAGCACGGTGCCTAGCACATGGTTGATTCCCTAGTGTCATTCCTTTTGCCCTCCCTGAATGATAGCATCCTGGACACTTACGACATCTAAACAAATTATAGAGCTAAAATTTAAAATTATCTCTTGGCTCCAGATTGTATTTTCCCCCATTATTTTGTATCTATAAGCAGACCTATTCTACAAGCAGATTAATTATGCAATTGGTAAAATACATTAAGGAAAAGAGATTAAAAAGGAGACTCGATTAGTCTAATACAGAAATCAAAGTGAGAGCTAAGGCCAAGAAATGGGGGGGCGGGGGGATGTAGGAAGAGGTACTATTAGGGTGATATCTAAAGGTGTTTATAATTGACTTGCTCTTGACACAGAGGGGTGTTGGGTGAAGTCAAGTTTTGAAACTTTGATTAATTGTTCTTTGTGGTGCTGTCACAAATCAGGAACACTAGAGGAAAAAACATATATAAAAGGATTGATGGATTTGGGTTTGTGCTTGTCTTGATTACTAAAATAATCGTCATTTACAAATACTGAAGTTTCTAGGTAAACATACTTCATTGTTTTTGTTAAGTGCTGTCAAGTTAGTTCCAACCCATAGTGACCCTATATAGGGTTTCCAAGGAGCAGCTGGTGAGCTTGAACCACTGACCTTGCAGTTGAAACTGCTCTGCAGTCTGGCACATTAACCCACAGCACCACACCAGGACTTCAAACATAACTTCATTAGAAACATGTTATTAATGACTTAAAACTAAATCCTTTTAATTTATTTTCAGCCACAGGGAATACAGCAGACAGCCCCTCCTCAGCAGATAGTACAATATTCACTTCCACAGACATCAACCTCCAGCGAGGGCACTGACTCTGTACAGCCAGTGAATCAACCTCAAGTTCCACAGGTTTTGCCTCAAGCATCAGCTGGAAAACAGGTGAACTCAATTTCTAAAATGATGCTAAAAGAGATTCCTACTTATTCTCCTTGCATATGTGCATAGGCTTTTTTTTCTGGCACTGTGGGCTAATGTGTCAGACTGCAAAGTTGTTTGAACTGCAAGGTCAGTGGTTCCAGCTCACCAGCTTTTCCTAGGAAACCCTATACAGGGTCACTATGGGTCAGAATCGACTTGACGGCACTTAACAACAACAAATGGTGAAATACCTATTGAAAATGTTTGATATCACTGTACAATTGAAATGAAAGTTGCTTCTTATACACATGTGCATTGGTTAATGTAAATGAGTACATACTGACAACACTAACAATCTAGAAATGTTTAACATTTAAGTAGATTTGACTGGCACTAGCACTAATGAAGGAACTCTGTGGGCACAGTAGTTAAGTACTTGACTACTAGCCAAAAGGTCAGTAGTTCAAACCCACCAGAAGCTCTACAAGAGAAATGTGTAGCAGGTTTTTCTATAAAGATCGATATCCTAAATGGGAAGTATAGGGTAGGGTGAGTGAATGATTTTGCATTGAGGGAATTAAGCCATTTTGTCATGAAACAAAATGTATATGCATTGTTGGATGGAAAACTGGTTTACTCTGTAAATCTTGACCGAATTCACAATAAAAAGTTAATTTAAAACAGATTCACAGATTTGGAAATTCTAAGGGGTAGACGATTCTACTCTAACATGTAGGGTCATTATAAGTAGGAATCAAATCAGTGCCCGTCCATTTTTTGAGTTAGAACAAATGAGTTAAATAAAAGTATTTTGGTAACTAAATCATATGATATTATCTAGAACTGTGTCAGCATATATCTAATATTCTGGCTTTGCAGCGATGCTATATTATCTTTGGAAAGTACCCTGAAGAAAGTATGCTTTTCTGAATGATCTTTCTTCAATTTTATCTTTGGTGCTTGCTGTGCTTGTATGTTGGCACAATATATTGTTGCTGTCATATTTCATTGCATCTGAGGTATTAATAGTTTTAAGATATATTCCAATTTCACAGATGTTTAAATTGTAGGGACCAAAGGTTGCAGCCAAGAATCACTAATGGATCGTAATTATATCTACTTTTATAAGGCTGTTTTAGGCTTAAGAATTTTAGGAACAATGTAGACAAAGTCTCACTTAACTGGGAAGGAATTGTTTAAATTTCAGTACTTACTATAGCAAACATATTATCTATAAATTATGGTATATGTGAAATACAGCTTAAAGTAAAAAGAAAATGCCCATGAAATAGTTCTGTTTTTATTGTTGTACTATAAAACATTCACAGAATATTCTCAAAAGGTCTGAGAAGAGTACCCAGTGTCTTAGCCTTTTTCTCTGCTCTTCTTTTCCTATTCTTATATGCATATTAGCTTGCACTAATATACGCAGAGGTGGTTTGTTTTCGCCCCTTCTTCTTTTTGGCTAATATATAAACCTTGCTTTGGCCATCTTTCTAAAAAAGTCTGTCTCTTGTTTTTCTTTACCTTCCCAGCTTCCAGTTTCCCAGCCAGTACCAACTATTCAAGGCGAACCTCAGATCCCAGTGGCAACACAACCCTCAGTTGTTCCAGCCCACTCTGGTGCTCATTTCCTCCCTATGGGACAGCCACTCCCTGCTTCCTTACACCCTCAGTACCCTGTTTCCCAGATTCCCATATCAACCCCTCATGTGTCTACGACTCAGACAGGTTTCTCATCCCTTCCCGTCACAATGGCAGCTGGCATTAATCAGCCTCTGCTCACTCTGGCTTCATCTGCTACAGCAGCTACAATCCCAGGGGGATCAACTGTGGTTTCTAGTCAACTTCCAACCCTTCTGCAGCCTGTGACTCAGCTGCCAAGTCAGGTTCACTCACAGCTCCTGCAACCAGCAGTTCAGTCCATGGGAATACCAGCTAACCTTGGACAAGCTGCTGAGGTTCCACTTCCCTCTGGAGATGTTCTGTACCAGGTATTGTGCTAGCTAGCAAAAAAAAAAAGGAGGGTTTGTTTCTAATAGTAGATTATCAAGGACTTGAAACCCTACTAAATGAATATCAGAATAACTGTCAGTTACAAAAATTGCTGATCTCAACTAAAGAAGTGAAAATATTAAACTTCTGGGAAAGGATAAGGCAGTGATGTCTGACGATTCCTATCCATTTATCTCAACACATCTCTTGGGAAAAAAATGTTTCTCTCAGTATTTATTGTAAGTTGACTGAATACTAGGTAGGCACGGCTAATAGTAAGTACATCAGGCGACTTTTTTAATAGGTAAAATAGTAGCCAACACAGTATCAATAGAAAGCTTCTTCAGGGTTTAGATATAGATTAGCATGTCTTGATATTAATAAATATTAATTACCAGCTTGACTGATACCTTGAAGATTTTTACATCATCTGTTTACGATTGGCTAGAAAGTAGATCTTTTTCTAGAAGGAATTGTTAAATCAATTCCTATTTAAATTATCTCCAGGAGAAGAAAAATCAGTTTAAATTATGATTGTAGAATCATGGACTCAAGAGTGGTCTCAAGCGTGGCAACAGTAGTGAAGTTGGCCCAGGATCGGGCAGTGTTTCGTTCTGCTGTGCATAAGGTCGCTTTGAGTTGGTACCAATTCCATGGCACCTAACAACAACAACAACATACCTTGGTAGGATAAGCACTGGACCGCAAGGTCGATTTTAACCACAAGATGGCAGATCAAATCCACTAGCTGCTCCTCGGAAACCCTATACAGAGGGTCTCTGTGAGTCAGAACTGACTTGCCAGCATTAACAACAACAGCAACAGTACCCTAAATTGGAATCAGGCTACCATTTCATTCAATAAAGATCTTTAAATGTTCCTGAAATTAAAGAAAGAGAGAGAGATTATGCTCCTGTTCTTTACTGTGTGCTTCTCTTTTTTAGCGTGTCTTGCTATTTTTGCTAATTTGATGACCCAACCTGCACTAACTCACCGTCCTCATTTCTATCACAGGGTTTCCCATCTCGACTGCCACCACAATACCCAGGAGATTCAAATATTGCTCCCTCCAACGTGGCTTCTGTTTGCATCCCTTCTACAGTCCTATCCCCTCCCGTGCCCACAGAAGCATTGGCTGCACCAGGTTACTTTCCTACATTGGTGCAGCCTTATGTGGAATCAAATCTTTTGGTCCCTGTGGGCAGTATAGGAGGACAGGTTCAAATGCCCCAACCAGCAGTGAGTTTAGCACAACAAGCCCCCCTTACATCCTCCCAGCAAGCAGCTCTGGAGGTAAATGGAATTCATGCATGTTTATATATAAAACATAAATATGGGATAGAAATGACAAATAGGAATCATAGGCTCCCCTGGTATAGAATATATTTGGAGACTACTGTAGACTAACTTTTGAATGAATTTTTCTTACAGCAGAATGAAATGCCAATGTGGGGGCCTTGTTGCCACTGGCTGTTCTGTTGGGAAGTGAGTGTGCCTTGAAGAAGATTAAGCCTATTAGCACTTCACTTCTCTAGCTAGTACTTTAGTCATTATTAATCATCTCACAAACTCTTGCCATTGGCAGTCATTTGAGTATCTTATCTCGCTGTGTTCATAGCAGTCATTTTTGCCATACTGGGAGAAAATTCTGAATCACCTTTGCACTTTGCTCTGCCTGTCCTATTGCACAGTTCTGGTAAGATGCTGCCTGCATGGCAAGTTGTAGTTTCACACTGCCTAGCAAATATGTTGGCTGATCTCACCATGCAGTCTGTACAGGAGACTAGCTTTAGAAACTTTTTTTGGATTTTTAAGACTTCTATGCTAAAAATTAAAATTACTAGTGAGTTTAGTGCTTCTGTGACTTAAAGAAGGGATAAGGAAAAGAATGACTGGGGATCGTGAACGATAAATGAAGTATATTAGTACCAAGATTTAAATTATCCTTTCTATTCACAGAATACCCAGGGAGTCTCTCAGGTTGCTCCTCCAGAACCAATTCCAGCAGCTCAGCCACAACCTACCCAGCCTACCACCTTGGTCTCTTCTATAGACAGGTGTGTACAACTAAAATTCTCATTTCTTAACTGGTGTGATATGTCAAAATATTAGACCTTTAAATCTCATTATAAACCAAACATTTTGGGGGGTGTGGTTTTTTTCTAGTGCACATTCAGATGTTGCTTCAGGTATGAGTGATGGCAATGAGAATGTCCCATCTTCCAGTGGGAGGCATGAAGGGAGAACTGCAAAACGCCATTATCGTAAATCCGTAAGAAGTCGCTCTCGTCATGAAAAGACTTCACGCCCAAAATTGAGAATTTTGAATGTAAGTATTGCTTCCTTATGGGCTTCATAAAATTTGACACTGAGAAGGATTTTAGAGGTCATGTAATCAAATTCTCTGACTTCAAAATATAAACATACCTAATTGTTATCTGATATAACACTTCCCACTTAATCTTCACAAGCCATTCTAAATGAATATTCTATTTTTCAGATAGAAAAAAATAAAGCTATAGCTCATAAAGCTATAACAAGACCCGCAGTTGAATCATTTAAATATTTCCTAAGGCTTGGATGTGTTGGTGAAAGCTTGGAATCTTCTGATTGTTGTTGTTTAAGTGCCATTGAGTTGATTCCAACTCATAGCTACCCTGTATAGGGTTTTAGAGGAGCAGCTGGTCGGTTTGAACCACTGATCTTCTGGTTCAAAGTCCAGTGCTGACTCCACAGAGCCATACCAGGAATAGATTTAATTTGCAAAAAAGATTTTGATTGCACCCTAACTGTATCATTGCTACAGTGGAAAATAAGTGAGTAGCTTAAAGCTGATGTCTTCTTGAAAGGTTTTCTTACTTCCCTTTTAAAAAGCTAAGTGCCAGTAGTCCAAGGAACAGTGGTACCACTGTGTTTCATCAGGCTTAAATTTTAAGAGATAAACATGCATTGCTTTCAAATTTTGTAGCAAAGTTAAGTATAGGTCTCTGAGGTAAAGTACTTTTTCTTTTCCCCCTTTAGGTTTCAAATAAAGGAGACCGGGTAGTAGAATGTCAATTAGAAACTCATAATCGGAAAATGGTTACATTCAAATTTGACCTAGATGGTGACAACCCAGAGGAGATAGCAGCAATTATGGTATGTCTGCACTTGGAGTTCCAAATTTTGCCTTAGTCCTTGATTTTAACATCCACTACCAGAACAAAATACAGTATTTAGTTATCCATATTCTAGTAAGTACATGTCTATTTCAATACAGCTGGCATATCAGACTTGTGATTTAGAGATTGTTTTGTGTATTTGTCGAAGTACTGAAGTTCTTAAAAGGGGAAGAGCTAAATAATAGTAAAGTGGTATGCAGATAGAACAGATGTCATTAAATGGTAATTGAATGACTTAAAGTTCAAGAAACATTACATTAATCAGACTGACTACATTTCTTTTACAGGTGAATAATGACTTTATTCTAGCAATAGAGAGGGAATCATTTGTGGATCAAGTGCGGGAAATAATTGAAAAGGCTGATGAAATGCTCAGCGAAGATGTCAGTGTAGAACCAGAAGGTGACCAGGGATTGGAGAGTCTACAGGGCAAGGATGACTATGGCTTTTCAGGTTCTCAAGTAGGTTCATTATTCCTCACAGTAAAGATTTCTTTATTTAAAATATTTTCATATTGCTAAATTTTCCATAAACTGAGAGACCACATTGGTGCCTACTATCGAGATTATCAAATATTTACAATGTCTTTGTGAATAGGGATTTATTTACTTTGTGTAGTCATTGATATTACATTTGAAAATGAATTTAATTGGTTTTGTTTGTTTTAGAAATTGGAAGGAGAATTCAAACAACCAACTCCTGCGTCTTCCATGCCACAGCAAATAGGTGAGTTACTTTTCTTTCCATAGTTGCTTTTACTTTTAGAAAACTGTGTGCTAATAATGAAACCTTGAAGCTTGATGTTGCTAACAAGAAAAGTAATAATAATGTCATTAAGTGGTTTGCTTCCTTTTAACTAGGTGTTCCTACCAGTTCTTTAACTCAAGTTGTTCATTCTGCTGGAAGACGGTTTATAGTAAGTCCGGTGCCAGAAAGTCGATTACGAGAATCACAAGTTTTCACCAATGAAATTTCTGATACAGGTAAGGAATTGATTCTGCCACACACTTAAGCAAACCCTAAAGCATCTGTGCTGTGTTGGAGGCATGGTTTTCAAACAGTAGTTTAAATGATGGCATAGAAAATTGAGATTATTACATATGAAGGAGGAAATGTGAAAATGAATCACGGGGATTAAAGAAAAGAGCTGAAACAGACAGCCATACTAGATAGTATATAGTATGTATTTGATTCTCCTTTTAATATTACTGGATAGGCTTTGCGATTACTCCATGTTTTTACAGAAGTAAGTATTCATACCAAACCAGTTGCTTTAGAGTCAGTTTCAACTCATGGTGATCCTGGTGTGTCAAAGTGGAATTGTGCTCCATGGGGCTTTTAATAACCCTTTTTTCAGAGGACTTGTTAAGTGGGCTCAAGCAACCAGTCTTTTTAGTTAACAGCCAGGTGCTTAACAGTTGGCACCACCCAGAGACAAATAGTCAGATAAGGTAACTTACTTTGATTAAACCACTGTTTTTAAGTCTGTCATTTTCTTGGAAGAAACTGTCAACCTTGGTGGTATATATCATGTTGGTAATCCAAAAATAGGTTATGAGAGTAATCTTTTGATTCTGCTTTTTTTAAATGGGATGATTCTAATTTTTTTTCCTGTTGTTTTTATTTTCATTTTTAGTTGCTGCCTCTACATCTCTTAGCCCTGGAATGAACTTATCACACTCTGCTTCATCCCTTAGTCTACAACAGGCCTTTTCTGAACTTAAACATGCCCAAATGACCGAAGGACCTAATACAGCACCTCCAAACTTTAGTCATAAAGGACCAACATTTCCAGTAGTACCTTCTCCAGTGAGTAGCATTGCTGGAGTCCCAACCACAGGAGCAGCCACATCATCAGTATCAGTCCCTACAACTAGCAGCCTTCTTACTGACATATCCACATCAGTAATCCAGTCTGAGGTTACAGTGCCCACTGACAAAGGGGCTACTCAGGTTGTAGGAACTTTAGGTGGTCTTCCTATACCATCTGCGTCCGAGCCACCAGTTCTTACCAGTGTGGTTTCAAGCACCACAGTACCTATAGTTGTCTCAGTAGCTGGAACATCCCAGTCAGTTTTTGCCCCCACATGTGGGAGCATTGTTTCTAGTATAGGCACTCTCCCCTCTATAACAGTTTCCACTTTGACTTCTGTAGTGAGCAGCACTGCTGCTCCAGATGTTAAGCCTCCAACAGTATTATCTCAACAGGTTGCAGGCAGTACTACTGGAGTAGCCACAGTAACATCAGGTTCTAGCACCACTTCATTCCCAAACATAGCTTCACAGCCATCCCTTCAGCTTAGCAGCAGCAGTTCTACTCCTGTTCTAGCTGAAACAGTGGTGGTTAGTGCACACTCACTAGAAAAAGCATCTCATAGCAGTGCAACTGGGTTAACTTTAGCGCTCTCTACACCATCCTCCTCCTCATCCCCTGGAGCTGGAGTGTCTAGTACTGTTACTCAACCCAGTGGGGTACATCCTTTGGTCATCCCATCAGCTGTAGCTTCTGCTCCTGTCCTTCCCCAAGCAACAGGACCTATTTCTGCACCTTTATTACCCCAAGTGACCAGCGTCCCACCCTTATTACAACCTGTTGTCAATGTGCCTGCTGTACAGCAGACACTAATTCATAGTCAGCCTCAGCCAGCTTTGCTTCCCAATCAGCCCCATACTCACTGTCCTGAAATAGATGCTGATACACAATCCAAAGCTCCTGGGATTGATGACATAAAGACTCTCGAGGAAAAACTGCGGTCTCTCTTCAGTGAGCATAGTTCATCTGGAACTCAGCATGCCTCTGTCTCATTGGAGACATCACTAGTGGTAGAAACCACTGTCATGCCAGGCATCCCAACCACCGCTGTTGCACCTAGCAAACTCATGACTTCCACTACAAGTACTTGCCTACCACCAACTAGTTTGCCATTAGGAACAACTGGTCTGCCAGTGGTCACACCTGGGCAAGTTTCTACCCCAGCAGGCAGTTTTATTTCAGCCCCAGTCAGCACAACATCGGGAGTAAAACCTGGAACTGCTCCCTCAAAACCACCTTTAACTAAGGCTCCGGTAAGATCCATCAAAGAGATTTCTTTTTTAAAGTACCTTGCTTACAATTAGGCACTCAATATAAATTTATTAAATATTGATTAATTATGATGTTAGGGTGTTTATATGTACCTTGAACACAGTGTTATTGTTTTTTTTTAATCATAGCAAATATATAGGTAACAAAGCATTTGCCATTTCAGCATTCTTAGTACAATTAAGTGACAAGAAACCTAAATATTGGTTCGCTACCATCAAATTGATAGCACCCAAATATGATGGAGTAGAACTACTCCCCCTCCCAATAGTGTTTCTAAAGCTATAACTCTTTTTTTTTTTTTTAATAACTGTTTTGGGAGAACATTAGTTTTCCTTCATTCTATTGTATATCGTTACATTGCCATGGTTAACAGTCTCCTCCATGCATCATCAACCAAACAAAGGGTACACCCTACAAGCATGCCCCCTGGTTGTCACCACACATCCCCTCTTCCTCTCTAGGTCTAGAGCCCCCAGCCACTCCATCTCTCCATGTCATCATCTCTGCCTCTATCTCTGGCATCACTGTTTCGCTGGGGAGGGTCCCATACTCTGCTCTTCTCCCTTAATGGTCGCAGGGGTCTCTGTTCCTAACCTGCAAAGTCAACCACTCCCTTCCTTTTGCTACAAAACGTCTACCTTTATATTTCCAACCCTCACAGTCAGTCCTGATATTAATTATTCACTATTGTACCACATGAGTGCTATCCTCATCTCCTTTCATCAGTCCCGCCCAGACAGATTGGTTCCTACTCAATGGAGATTCTACCTTCCTCCGCACCCTCTGCATCTAGGCTCCCTCTTGAAAGCTTGTAAGCCAGTAACTTCTTGCCTTTGTAGCACCCCCATTTTGGGTAGCTAATGTCCAAGTTGCCCATCCTTGCTGTGATGATTCCTTCCCTCCTGGTTGGTATTTTAAGCTACATCCATAAGGATAGGTTAAATTCATCAAATTGTAGTAATTTACACTTGTTTTCTTTATCAAAAATTTTTATTTTAAATCTCCCTCAAGTCGAGTTCTGATCATCCAGCCATTGAAGAAGCTAGGTCAAATGGGTACTATCTGCAAGTTTGGGTGTTCTTGTGCATCTCCCCTTACTTCATATCAGCTAGACGCTTCATGCTCATCTCTAGCCCTCAGTGGCTTTGTCCTTGCCCATGGGTTCAGGAGTCCCCAGGTCTTACCACACTTTGGGATAACCAAGTCTCACCATCCTCCAGATTAATGGGAGTCTATGTAGCATGGTCCGACACAGCCCATATCTTCATTGCTGCTTTTCTCCCACTAATACTCACCAGTAGACCAAAGTGGTTGCCAGCAAGTTTACATGCCTGCTCATGTATTCCCTTTGAGTTTCAGTCTTGGAAGGGGGTTTGTCCTGAAGGGACTTGATTGCTTGTCTTGATGGCTCTCCAGCAAACAACTTGCTTGTTCTTGTGGTAGCCAATCAGACTGCCATTTTTGTTGTTGATTTTTTTTCTGCTGGTCTTTCTTTCAAGAAGTATCTTCTGTTCTTATAGCTGTTCCAGGCTGGTCTGCTTGTCTTTTCAAGTGGGAATTTCCTACCTCAGAAGGTTCTGGATGGGGATCAGGATTCCACCTAAGGTCTCATACACTACAAAGGCTCCGCAAGAAGCCTCTTTGACTGGGCAAGTTCTAGCACCCCTTTTAGGTATTCCAGTGAGTTATAGTCTGAAGACGGGTTAAAAGCTTTCTATAATCATGTTTCCGGATTTTTCTTTCTATCCCTCTCAAGTGTCTATTTTACAATAGCAGGCAAGGGAAACCAATATTCATAAGACAGTTAAGCATCTTAACATTATTTCCTCTCTTTTACTCATTCAGACTATGCCTCAATCCCTATATTACAGAGCCCCATTGTTCCATTGTTGAACATGCATCACTGTTTACCTCTGTCCCGTTTATCTCACACAAATTTGCCTAAGTATTCTGCCTACCTTGTTCTTCCACCCTCTCCCCCTTCTAGTGTATTGCCCACCCCAATACCTGAACTAAGATGTTATCTATCCCTTACCATGTGCTCTACCATCTCCCCCCTCTCCTACCCCCCTCACAACCAACAAAAGATTTTTTTCCCCCCTTTTTAATGTGGATACCTTTTCTTAAGCTTTTACAATAATGGTCTTATGCAATATTTCTCCTTTGTGACTCAGTAATTTCGGTGAGCATAAAGTTTCCGTAGGATTTTTTTTTAATGTCTTATTGTGAATTATGTGATCGTTTACATGGGAGAACATTAGTTTAATATTCATTCTATCTTATATCGTTTCATTGCCATAGTTGCAATCCCCTCCATGCATCATCAACCAACCAAAGGGTATGCCCTACAAGCCTGCCACCAGATCGTCAGCACATAGCCCCTCTCCCTCTCTGGGTCTAAGGTCCCTAGCTGCTCCATCTCTCAACATCCTCGTCTCTGCCTCCATCTGTGGCATCACTGCTTCTCTGGGTAGGGTCCCGCACTCTTCTTACTTGATGGTTCCAGGGACCTCCGCTTCTGGACTGCAAAGTCAATCATTCCCCTCCTTTTGCTACAGAATGTCTACCTTTACATTTCCAACCCCTGCAGTCAGTCCTGATAACAATTATTGACCATTGTACCACAAGGGACCTATCCCCATCTCCTTTCATTAGCCCTCCCCAGAGAGATTGGATACTACTCAGTGGAGATTCTACCTTCCTCCACGCTCTCAGGATCTAGGCTCCCTCTTGAAAGCTTGTAAGCCAGTCACTTCTTGCCTTTGTAGACCCCCCCAATTTGGGTAGCCAATGTCCAAGTTGCCCATCCTTGTCTACCCTGTGTATTGAGGGGTTGGGAATGATCCTCACTGTAAAGATTTGTTCCCTCTTTTGAGCTACTGCATCCATATGTGTAGGTCAAGTTCATCAAATTGTATCAGATTACTCTTTTTTTCATCTTCTTTCTTCTTCTAGTTGAGCTCTGATCATCCAGTCATTGAAGCCAGGTCCAGTGGGTATTATCTGCAAGTGTGGGTGTTCTTATGCATATACCCTTTCTTCTTCAGCTGGATGCTTCATTCTCTACTCTAGTCCTCTGTAGCTATGTCACTGACTCTGGGCCAAGGAGTCCCCAGGTCTTGCCAAACTGCTGGCCCACCAGGTCTCCACCCAGGTTCACAGGAGTCTGTTGAATGTAATAGGGTTTAGCTTGCAACTTCATTGCTGTTTTTCCCTCACTTTCCCTTATAGGTGACCAACGTGCTCACCAGTCAGAGCACGTGTCTTCTCATGTATTCCCATTGAGTCTTAGTCTTGGAAGGAGGTTTGCCATGAGGGGACTCGACCGCTTGCCTTGTTGTCTCCTGGGCAAGCTGCTTGCTTGTTCTTGTAATAGTCATTCAGACTTCCGTTATTGTTTTGTATTTTTCCTGTCGGTCTTTCTTTCAAAAGTATCTTCTGTTTTAGCCGCTCCAGGCTGATCTGCTTGTCCTTTCCAGTGGAAATTTCCCACCTCAGAAGATTCTCGATGGCGTTCAAGATTCCACCTATGGTCTTATGCAATGCAAAGGCTCCACAGGAAGCCTCCTTCACTGGACAAGTTGTAGCCCATTTTAGATACTCCAATCAGTTATAGGCAGAAGACGGACTTACAAGCTTTCTGTGGTGATATTTCTGGCTATTCCTTTCTCTCCCCCTCAAGTGTCTATTTCACAGTGGTGGGCAAGGGAAACCAAGATTCAAAAGGCACCCAAGCATCTTAACATTATTTCCCCCCTTTTCCCCATTCCAACCATGTCTCTGTCCCTGTATCCCAGAGCCCTGTTCCAAGGTTGTGCATACGTCATTATTTACATCTGTTCCACTTAGCCCATGCAAACCTGTGTAATTGTTTTCCCATCCATCTTGTTCTTCCATTCCCCTCTCCCTTCTTGTGTATTGTCCCCCTCCCCAACACCCAGACTATCCTGTATCTATTCCTTACCCTGTGCTTCACCCCCTCGCCACCCACACACACACATCCTGGTAACCAGCAAAGAATCCTCCTTCCCGCCACCCCGCCACCCCCCCCTTTAGTATGGGTTCTTTTTACATAGTCTTTTACAGTAGTGGTCCTATGCAGTATTTCTCCTTTTGGAACACAGTTATTTTGACCTTGTAATATGGCAGGATTTGGGGAGGTTAAGTATACTGTACCTGTACTATTTTCTAAGAATACATAATAATCAGTAAAATGCAAGAATTTCTTCCTGATTGCTGTAAACCGAATATACTCTATAACCTAAAAGAGAGCTAAGTGTTTCTGTCAGCTGCAAATGTACAGTTTGGGATTTATTAAAAAATGCGAAGTTAGTGATAAAATTAATACAGAGGAGAAGAAAAGAATCTAATGCTAGGAATAAAATAACTAGAATGAATGTACTGTCTAATTCTGCTCTGATGGATTTCCTCTCGTTTTGCCATCAGCCTATCTTCTCCAAATAATAAGGTTGTATTTTGTCTCATTTAATGTAGGCTCTGAGTCACCTTTCTGCATTGCCGTTGATAAAAGATTATTTTCATTGTAGAATAGTATAAAGGCTTATTAACGCCGACAAAATAAAATTGCTTCATAGTGTTAGATTTCCCATGCCCTTTGTTATCAGACTTGCCTGTTGCTTAAATAGGCACCTCACTTAACATTTTCTTTTCTCAGTCTTAACAAAAACCTGATAATATATACCAAATAAGTAGCTAAAGCATACCTGCATTACACGTCTTATATACAGAAGGCATTTTTTCTGTTTTCTTAATAAAATAACCTTTTTACTGTATTTTACTCTTCATTTAAGAAGTATGTCATGGTAATCTCTATAATAGTGTTAGTGGTTTTGATGTCCTTTATTCAAGACAGTGTATAACAGAGTATATAACACAAGTGTCAAGCATACTTTAACTAGATACATTGTATTCTTATGCTTCTGCATGCAAATTAAGTTATTTGCTCTTTAAGCATGTCTCTAACATCCATGTCTCTTGGAATTGACTTTCTCTTTATTATTTGTAGGTGATGCCAGTAAGTACTGAACTTCCAGCTGGTACTCCACCCAGTGAGCAGCTGCCACCTCTTCCAGGACCTTCACTAACTCAGGTGCTCCAAGACTTGGCAGATTTCATTCTGTGACCTCTATTTTCTGGCACAAAACTTGGTTAATTTCTCTGTTGCATACTTAGTCACACCTTTCATTTAAAGCAGTGTAGCTGACAAAGCAGAAGATGTTGGGGGAGTGGTGACTTTTTGTTTATAAAAGTGGCAAGGGAAACCCTATTTAGGGTCACTATGCATCGGAACCAACTTGACAGTGACAGCGATTCAAACCTTAACAGCAATGTTGTTGTGTTGTTGAGTGCTGTTGAGCTGATTCTGACCCATAGCAACCCTGTATAGGATTTCCGAGGAGCAGCTGGTGAGTTTGAACCGCCAACCTTGCAGTTCAAATGGCTTTGCAGTCTGACACATTAATCCACAGCGCCATAGTCACCAAAAAACATTTGATAATCTGTTTTTTTCATATCTTATTGGGGGGGGGGAGACAAAGATGATACTTTTTTAAGACAAAAATTAATAAATGCTATCACTCATACTTTTGTAGAATAGTTAAACAGCATCTTAAATAAGAGGTTGTATTCTAAAACATTATGTTGTTTAGTGTCATCCAGTCGATTCCGACTCATAGCAACCCTGTATAGGATTTCAGAAGAGCAGGTGGTGGATTTGAACTACCCGCCTAGAATTCCAGTGCTTATCCTGCAATGCCACACCAGGCCTACAAACCATTGTAGAATTAGTAATATGATCCAAATTAACTTTGAAAGTTCATTGTGGAAGGCACCAAAATAATGACTAGTACATCCTTTTGCTTTAAGTTTAATGCAACCAGGTTTTGTTTGTTTGGGTTTTTTTACCTTGAATGTTTTCTTTCATTGACCTCCAATTAAAATAATTGGCTTACATATAGGTTGTTGTTAAGTGCCATCAAGTTGGTTCAGACTCATAGCAACCCTGTATAGGGTTTCTGAGGAGCTGCCGACCTTTCAGTTCAGTGCATATTCGTTAATATCTTTCAGTACAAACACCACACACACAGCAATATGCTAACATTACAAGAGGCAATCTTGTATCAGTCTAGCACTTAAAATCATATTATTTAATATAATTTGGCTGTATATTGTGACTATAAAATTGCCATAGGACTATACTAACTGCAGTTGTTTTTGTTAGACTCAGCAACCTCTGGAAGATCTTGATGCTCAATTGAGAAGAACCCTTAGTCCAGAGACTATTGCAGTGACTCCTGCTGTTGGTGTAAGTTTCAAAGATTGCTAAAATTTTCATCCCATAGTCCTCCTTTGTTCTGTTTCTGGAATTAACTGTAACTTACGTGGTTTCTCATTGGGCTGCTAACCTCAAGGTCAGAAGTTCGAAACTCCCAGCCATTTTGCAGGAGAAAGATGAGGCTTTCTGCTCCCATAAAGATTTATAGCTTCAGGAACCCTATACAGGGCCGCTATTAGTCAGAACCGACTTCACAGCACATCACCACCACCAAACCTGTTATTTAACAGCTTTTCATAAACAAGTCCCTGCCTGTTCCAGTCAACAGAAATGAGATAGATTCAGGAAAGACTATCAGTCATGTCATTATAGAGAAACTTTATTTGAAAGATACTTTTTCTTACTTCAACTTTGGTTAGAAGTATATCACTCATGTTAGATTAAGCTAATTTTTTTTTTTTTTTTTTTTATGCTTTGGAGGAAGCTGTACTTTAAGTTTGAAGTTTAACTTCTTTTTGGTTTGTAAGACAATGTTCTGATGAAAATTACTTTTCTATAAATATCCAAGTTGTACTCTTAAATATCCTATGATAAAAATTAAGAAAGCAGTACAGAAGAATTAAGACTTGAGTTTTCTTTAAAAAGCTGTCTTTTTAATGTCAGAAAATGCCCTTGAGTATGAATAGTATTTCTTCACATATACTACATTTATACCCTTTTACAAAGACCAAAAGAAAGAGAGCAAGGACAAAAGTTTGAGTGACTGAAGCTAAAGATTTTGTGGTGTCTGTGTGTATGTGTTTTGCAGCCTGTGTCCGTGGTGGCTCCAACAGCAGCTTCGGAAGCAGGAGCACATCCTCAGAAGGATGGTGAGAAGCATCCTTCTTATATTACTACTTCCAATCCTGCCTGTAGTTGATTATAGAAGTTAACTATTTATCTGTTCTTAAGACTATAGGTATATATGAAACTATAACAAGTATTTTATGTAATTTATGACTAGGGAGCCTTGATACAATTATCTAAACATTAACAATTGATGAATATTTTGTGTTTGCTATTTTTGAAAGGGAATGATAGTTTTTAGCATACGGCAGATCCTTGCTGGGATATTATGAAATTAAGCATATTTTATAAAGACAGTTATAACCTCTTAGCTTTTGTGATACTGCACATGTAAAGATAGAGAAAGTTTGAATGGCCTGGACAGTAGAAATGCAAATATAAGATTTCAGTTGATCAAGGTAAACACTTTAAAATCTGTTTCTAGAAACAGATTATTTTAAAGAGTTGTTCTTGAGTACAAAAAGGCATCATGTACTCAAGAATATCTCTTTAGAAAGGCATATTTGACCTTCATTATATAAAAATTATCTTAAAAAGTTAGTGTTTCTTAAGAACTTTCATCACCATGCATTTAGTAATTAGTTTATATCAGCTAATATAGTTCTGAACTTTTGTTATTTTGAATCTTTTTGCCATATTATATCAGTCCCATATAACCTTTATTCAAAAAGTTCATGGATAGATGGATAGTTTCCATTCACTTTCTCTCTCTCTTTTTTTTTTTTCACATTTTTATTGTAAATTAAGTGATAGTTTACATGAGAGAACAATAGTTTTTACATCATGATTTCATTGAAATGATTACAGTCCCTTCTGTTCATCGTCATTCAGAAGTATTTTGCCTCTGTTCCTTCTGGGGTTTTTTGTTTTCAGGGGCTGGGGTGAGGATATACACGAAAACACTCAGGTATATATAATCATTTAAACAATCAAAAGGCACATTCTGCAAGCCTGCCTCCTGGCTGCCAGCATACAGCCTTTCTCTTTCCATGAGTTTAGAGTCTTCAGCTGCTCTTTCTCTCCATGTCCTCATCTCTGCCTCCATCTCTGGTGTCGCTGCTTCTCTGGATAGGGGCCCATCCATTCTCTTTCGATTTCATTTTCCATTTGTTTTTTGAAGTCCCCTTACATTTTTTACGTCATGTCTTCTTCAGAATCATTTATATTCAAAAATGAAATAATTAAATGTGGGCTCTACTTACTAGTTATGTGAACTTTGTATGAGACCTCTTATCTTACAGTATATTCATTCTCAGCATAGCAACATAAATGTTACTTTTGAATGCTTATTTCTTCATGTGTTCCTTCAAATCAATGGGACAGACTAGAAAATCTAGTTAAAAAGGGAATTAAGAATATAAAAAAGTTGACTTTTTAAATCAGTAAGAAAAAGATTGGATATTTGAATAAATGGTTAGGCGTAACTGGATAGTAGTCTGGGATAGCCATTTGGTTAAAAAGCAAAGGTGTTCGATCATCCATAGGTTAGACCAAAAATATTTCCAAATGGATAAAACATGGAAAATGTATCATAAAATGTAATTAAGAAAACATTAGAATAATAAATTTTTCTTGTTTTTACTCTCTAGAGTAGAAATAAACAAACTTATGAGCAAGGCCAGAGAATAAATACTTTAGGTTTTGCAAGCCTTATAGTCATTCTCTGCCACAGCTGCTCAGTTGTACCCTAGCAATAGACAATTCATAAATGAATGACTGGATGGCTTTGTTCCAATAAAAAAGACTTTTCAAAAATAGGCGGTGGGATGGGTTTGTTTTACATATTATAGTTTGCTGATCCCTGATACAGAGCAAGGTCCTTTTAAAAGTTTACTATTCAAACCAGAAGCCAGAATTAGTTAAAAATTTTTGTTTTTGCATAGGGAAAAGAAGCTCCATTAGGTCCAAAGACAATGGAAAATGGGGTGCTGGGGATACTTTATATACGTGAAAATACTTTGCGTACAATAAAAAATACATATGAAAGTACTTGACTAGAGGAGTTCTGCTGTGATGCTAAAGGATATTTCTTGTTAGTATACCTCTGTAGAGATCAATTTAGTAATAGCTATCAAAGTTTTAAATAGACATGACTCACCACATTCACTCATAAGTATTTAATTCTGTATATCGATAAGAAAATAGATACGTTTTGGAAGAGATGCAGCCAGAGCGCTCCTTGGAGGCCAAGATGGCCAAACTTCGTCTCTCATACTTTGGACATATTGTCAGGAGGGACCAGTTGCTGGAGAAGGATATCATGTTTGGTAGGGTGGAGGGTCAGAGAAAAAGAGGAAAACCCCCAACGAAATGGATTGGCCAAGTGGCAGCATCGATGAACTCAAGCGTGGTAACAGTAGTGAGGTTGGCCCAGGATCGGGCAGTGTTTTCATTCTTCTGTGCATAAGGTTGCTATGAGTCGGTACCGACTCGATGGCACCTAACAACAACAAATAATGGAGTCCTGATGTGGCGCTACAGGTTAATGTGCTGGACTGAAAAGTAAATTTGAACCTCAGGGTCAATGGTTCAAGCTCATCAACCACTCTTTGGAAACTCTATACAGGGTTGCTATGGGTAGGAACCGAATCAGCGGCACTTAACAACAACAATATAAGATAATGTTTCTCAAAACACTTACCAAAAAACTTGAATCACTTAAATGTACATCAGTAGAAGTCTGGTTAAAGTACAATACAATAAAAGAGTATGTGGTAGATACATATTGTTGTTAAGTACCGTGTAGTCGGTTCCAACTCATAGTGACCCTGCACAGAGTTTCCGAGGCTGTAAATCTTAAGGAGCAGAATGCCTCATCTTTCTCCCACGGAACCACTGGTAGTTTCAAACTGCTGACCTTGTGGTTTGCAGCCCTATTCGTAACCACTAGGCTACCAGAGCTCCTGTACATACATATAGTACGCTATTATTGTTAGGTGCCATCATGTTGGTTCTGATACATAAAAACCCTATATACAACAGAGCAAAACACTGACCCGTCCTGCGCCATCCTCACAGTTGTCAAGCTTGTGCCCATTCCTGCTGTGCCCCATTGTCTGTCTGTCTTATTAAGGGTCTTCCTCTTTTCTGCTGACCCTCCACAGTACAATACATAATGTCCTTTTTCAAGGACCAGTCCCTCCTGATAGTATGTCTGAAATATGAGAGATGAAGTCTCGCCATCCTGGTTCCTAAGGAACGTTCTAACTGTACTTCCAGCACACAGTATAATACTATTATAGTCATTGTAAAGAATACAGCAGTGATATGGAATGATCCCTTAAATTATTAAGTGAAATTCTCAAAACCATTTAATACATGGAAGTATGTCTGGAGTATTGGTGTGGTGCTGTAGGATAAGTACCGGCTGTTAGTCAACCGTTCCTCGGAAACCTCCAAGCCATTCATTGGAAGCCCTATACAAAGTCACTATGAGTTGTAATCAGTTTGAAGACAGTTAGCAACAACAGTCTGTATCTACAATATCTCTAGGAAGAAACTCAAATAAATGCTTGTCCCTTATTTAAGGAGGAGAATCTAGGTAGCTTTAAAGTTGCTCAAAAATACTTAGCGATAAATCTGAGATAGGTCTTTAATGTCCTAGGAAAAATTTTATCCTTCCTTTTCCTTACTTGTGGGAGCCCTGCTAGTGCTGTAGAATAAGCACAGGACTGCTAACCACAAGGTTGGTGGTGCAAATCCACCAGCCCCTCCACAGGAAAAAGATGAGGCTTTATGTTCCCATGAAGACCTACCACTTGATAAATCCTATACAGGATTGCTATGAATCAGAATGGACTTAGTGACAATGGGTTTTGGTTCCCTTACTTATATCTCTGAGTTAAAGAATAATTTACTTAATTATGACTGCCTGTTAACCTTAGTTCTTATGTTGTTCTTGTTAAGTGCCATCAAGCCAGTTCCAACCCATAGTGACCCTGCATAGGGTTTCCAAGGAGCAGGTGTTGAGCTTGAACCGCTGGCCTTGCGGTTCAAACCAACTTTGCAGTCCAGCACATTAGCCCACAGACTACACCAGGACTCCTTAGTTGTTATAGTATTAAGTTTTCATTGTGAACTGAATGATAGTTTACATGAGGGAACATTGGTTTTGCACTCAACCAGTCGTATGTTGTTTCATTGCAATGATTACAATCACTTCCTTGCACCTTTGATTAACAGTCTTTGCCTCTAGTTTTTGATATACATAAAAACATGCAGGGGTATATAATCGTTTAAACAACCAAAGGACACATTTTGCGAGGCAGCCTCCTGGCCACCAGCACATAGCCTTTCTCTTTCCATGAGTCTAGAGTCCTTAGCTGCTCTGTATCTCCATGCCATCACCTCTACCTCTATCTCTGGTGTTACTGCTTCTCTGGTTGGGACCCCATGCTCATGGTTTCCCTCTTGATGGTTTTAGGGTCCTCTGTTCCTGCAGTGTAAATGCAAATGTAAAACATTGCTACACCTCTTCTACCTTTACAGTTGTGACAGTCGCAGTTAGTCATGATAACAGTTACTGTTGAATCAAAAGAATCCTATTCCCATCTCCTTTCACCAGACTATCTAGACAAGATGAAAACAATTCAGTGGGGAATCTACCTTCCCCCACTCTCTCTGAAACTGAACTACTTTTTGAAAACTTGTACGCTAGCCACTTATTGCCTTTATATCCCCCACCAACCCACCCCTACCAGTTTTGAGTAACCATTGTCTTAAATTGCCTGTTCCTATCAACCCTGAGTACTGAGGGGATAGGCTTGATCCTTGATATGAGACTCCTTACTGCTCAGTTGGTATTTTGAGCTACTACATCCATAAGTAAAGGTCAAGTTCATCAAATTGTAGTAATTTACACTTGCTTACTCCAGTCGCTGGAGAAAGATATCATGTTTGGTAAGGTGGAGGGTCAGAGAAAAAGAGGAAGACCCCCCCAACGAGATGGATTGGCCAAGTGGCAGCATCGATGAACTCAAGCGTGGCAACAGTAGTGAGGTTGGCCCAGGATTGGGCAGTGTTTCGTTCTTCTGTGCATAAGGTTGCTATGGATTGGTACCGACTCGATGGCGCCTAACAACAACAATTCCATCAAACTTCTTTATCTTCCTTCCTCTTGAGTTCTGATCATCAAGCCATCCAAACGAGGTCAAATGGGTACTATCTGCAAGTTTGGGCATTCTTGCATGCCTCCCCCCACTTCATGTCAGTTGGAAGCTTCACTCTCAGCTATAGCGCACCATGGCTAGGTCAGTGTCCATAGGCTCAGGAGTTCCCAAGTCTCCCCAAACTTCGTACAAACCAACCCTTCCTCTCTGTCTCACTGCATAGTTAACGGGAGTCTATGGAACGTGGTCAAATTCAGCCCATGTCTTCATTACTGTCTTTCCCTCACTTCACTCACCAGTAGACCAACGCGGTCACCAGCGAGCTTACATGCTTGCTCATGTGTTCCCTCTGAGTTTCAGTGTTGGAAGGGCATTTGCCCTGAAGGGACTTGATTGCTTGCTTTGATGGCTCCCAGGCTAAAAGCTTGCTTGTTTTTGTTATAGTAACTCTTAATATGTACACTCCTCAGTTTTCAACACCATTGGTCTCCAATTACCAGGTCGTTAGTTAAAAACTGTCTTTATGCAAAGATGAAGAATGACATCAGCTCACAAAATGAAGGATGATTTCATCTTTACATAACTGCCAAGCTACTAGATTCCTGGCCCAGCCAAGTTGGCACATAGCCTTGACCATCATAGACAACATTACTCTTGTCTTACACCTCAGCATTCATTACTGCCAGACATACGTCATTAATGCATGAAATAGTCAGATAAGTAGACTTTGAAACATTATTATAAATGCAAGATCTCAGATAACGAGTTAGTCAATAATTGAGAAGTAGGTATTACACTTGTGAAGCTGCTTTATCTGTAACTTTCATCCATTAGAACAATACCATGTTATCTGGACATGTGTACAAGGAAACATAAGTAAGTAATGAGAAATTTTCAGACCTTGACAGTTTTTGACAAACATTATAATCTTTCAAACTGAAAATATGTAATATTAAACAAAAACTATGGTTTCCTCTTCTTCGACAAAACTTAAGGGAAAAGCAGGTAAGGGAATTTTCATTACTTCCAACAACTGCCCTCATCTGATAAAGTAGTTTTATTTTGTTGTATTTCCTATCAAAGGAAAACAAATGCAATATAAGTTGTTTTCCTCTTCTTTTTTTTTTTTTTTTTTCAGTTTCTCAAGTCTCAGAAGGCCCTGGCCTAGCAGCTGGTTCAAGAGGTGGTATTATTAAGATGGGACGATTCCAGGTATGTCAATTACTTTTCTTTTCCTTTAATTCTTCTTTAAGGAGGGATGCTATGTATATAATGGAGTCCTGATGTCGAACTATAAGATAAGCACCGGACTGTTAACCACAAGATCGACAGTTCAAACCCACCAGGCATTCCTTGGAAGCCCTATACAGGTTCACTATGAGTCAGAACCAACTCGATGGAATACCAACAACAGCAACAAGTATATAATAACATTATTATCTACCTACTTGGGTCAGAATTTCCAATCCAATGATATATGTCCTTACGTGACACTCTATCACTCTTTTCATCTTTTTCCCCTCATAAAAATAATACATGTTAATTTAAGAAAACGTAAAGTGCTTACAATGTTAGAGAAAAAACACTCATAGTCCCACTGCTTAATTACCCCAGCACCCAAGATTACTTTCTGTGCATTTGTATCTAAAATTAACCCCTGCTGTTGTTGCTTCTCTAAATGTTATTTTGCAGATTGTTTTTCTATATAGTAGTCTAACCACTCTTCTATTAGTTTCTAAGGTGGTTTTTTGTTTGTTTTGTCTAACATAATAAGTAGTGTAACAGTAAATGTCTTTGTATATAAAAACTTTTTCCACATTTAAAATAATTTTCTTAGGATTAATTCCTGAAATGAAAATACTGAGTCAGCATCAGTTAATGCCCTATCATTTTATGCTCCAAGCTGGCCCAGTGAATAAATTCTTGGTATGTGTTTGTTGTTGTTAAGTGCCTTCAAGTCAGTTCTGATTCATAGCGACCCTGTAACAGGTTTCCAAGCTGCAGCTGATGGGTTTGAATTACATACCTTGTGGTTAGCAGCTTAGGGCCACACCAGGGTTCTTGGTATGTTGTTGTTGTTGTTAACTGCTGTTGAGTCGATTCTGACCCATAGCAGTCCTGTATAGGGTTTCCGAGGAACAGCTGGTGAGCTTAAACTGCCAACCTTGCAATTTAAACGGCTTTGCAGTCTAGCGCATTAACCCACAGCGCCACTCCAGGACTCCAGATAGTACAAAATAAACTTTGTAAATCATTTTTTTACTGCTGTTATCTAGTTTCATAGCTGTGTCATTCTCATAACCACACTTGGTGATAGTGTGCCGTGAAGTTGATTCCAACTCATAACAACCCTGTATAGGGTTTCCAAAGCTGTAAATCTTTATGGAGCAGAAATCCCTCATCTTTCTCTTGCAGAGTGATTGGTGGATTCAACCTGCTGACCATGCAGTTAGAAGCCCAAAATGTATTCCACTACACTATCAGGGCTTTCATAATCACACTTAGAGTCAGGGATACTAATTGATGTTTTTCTCATTTGCGAATTGGGGTCCTAAGATTTTGTAACTATGTTGACTTGTATTTATAATGCATGGAATAGCCAAGACAGGTTTCTAGATCTATACCTAACTGGTGTGGCGCTGCAGGATAAGCACTGGACTGTTAACCTCAAAGTCGGCGGTTCAAACCCATCAACCACGCCTCAGAAACCTTTATACATGATTGCTGTGAGTCAGAACAAACTCAATGACCCTTAACTACAACCACCTCACTTACTATCTCGTTATGCAACATTTCACTTTTAAAACAATAGTTAAAAAAAAATCTATCCAACTATTTTACACATTAACAACTTACCATCTGGCACTAACAAAAGTTGAGGTGCAAGGCAAGATAATGATTAAGATTATGGTTAAGTGTCAACTCAACTGGGCTATAATTTCTCCCTGGTGTAGCAGTTGTGTAATGCTGTCTTTTATCAGTTTTGTAATGATACAATCATCTTCTGTTGTGTGACCTGATGTGGTCATCTTCCACTGTCACATAATGCCAGTTTTCACATAAAAATCCTAGTCTTTGGAACCTGGCCATGTTGTTATATGAGTTGTTGTTGTTGTTGTTATGTGCTGTTGAGTCAGTTCCGACCCATAGCGACCCTGTATAGGGTTTCCAAGGAGCTTCCGGTGAGTTTGAACTGCCGACCTTGCGCTGTGTGGATGCATTAACCCACAGCGCCATGTGAGGAGTGGGTGCGGTTAATTGTGTGGATTCTCGACAGATAGCTTCTATTTTCTATTTATTGGAATTAACCTTTGTATATTTTCTTATTTACAAGCAATCTTCAGAATTCTACCACCTGTTTTTTTATGTATTACATAAGACATGAATATGAATCTTATGCATGAAGCATGAGATATGAGAGCACTTGGTTTGCAATTTCCTATTCTTGATGTGGGATGTATAACCAAACGATTTCATTGGTGAGGTGAAACCAGCCACTCAGCATCTACCTCTTCGTACAGATTATTTGTTGTTTATAATGATATTCAAGTTTCAAGTTGTTTATAATGGTATTCAATTTCACAGACAAGGCTAGAGGGACTGTGAAAAGAGATACTTTACTCATGAACTGGGAATGATTACTTTAATCATTACTGTTACACTTTAATCGATGACAATGATTAAGGTTTTTTGGAGGCAGGGAATCCATACTGAAAGTTGATTATTGGGGACATTTGTTTTGTAACCCCATCTTGGTCTCTTCCTGTCAGGTTTCAGTTACAATGAATGATGCCCAGAAAGAGGGTAAAAATAAGTCAGAAGATGCAAAGTCTGTTCATTTTGAATCCAGCACTTCAGAGTCCTCAGTGCTATCAAGTAGTAGTCCAGAGAGTACCCTGGTCAAGCCTGAGCCTAATGGAGTAACCCTACATGGTATTTCTTCAGATGTGCCAGATGGTGCCTATAAAGCCCCTCCCTCTGAGGCAAAGTCAGAAACTGGGCAGCCTACCAATATTGGACGCTTTCAGGTGACAACTACAACAAACAAAGTGGGTCGTTTCTCTGTATCAAGAACTGAGGACAAGATCACTGTGGCAAAGAAAGAGGGGCCAGTGGCATCTCCCCCTTTTACGGATTTGGCACAAGCTGTTCTTCCTGCTGTGATACCAAAGAAAGAGAAGACTGAACTGTCAGAGCCTTCACATCTGAATGGGCCGTCTTCTGACCTGGAGGCTGCCTTCTTAAGTAGAGATGTGGATGATGGTTCAGGCAGTCCACACTCCCCCCGTCAACTGTGCTCAAAGAGTCTTCCTCTCCAGAGTCTCAGTCAGAGCCTTAGTAATTCATTTAACTCCTCTTACATGAGTAGTGACAATGAGTCTGATATTGAAGATGAAGATTTAAAATTGGAGCTGCGACGGCTACGAGAAAAGTAAGTATACTTTAACTTTTGAGATATTATCGAATGCCCAAGAAACTTTAAAAGTGAACTTTTGAGGTAGTCTCTAGTCCCTTCATTTAAAAAAAAATCCAGGATCACAACACCTTATTTTAATGGCACAGATTATACTCAGAGCTAGGTAACAGTGCCAAAGTCAGTATTCTCTTTATTGCAATATCCTGCTGTATCATTTCTTTAAAAGAGAATACAGTATCTAAAAGTTGAAATTGAGTATGTAGTTTATTAAATCCTTTTGTATACTCAGACCATTTTTTAAATTGTTACTATAGTATTATGAATAGCACTTTTATCATTATTAACCATTCTTAGCTGTCAGATGAATCTAATAATGGCATTGGATTGATGGTTATGTTGCCAGGGATATTTGGTTATATTTGGCAAATTGAATCAGAGTAGCAAATCCTCTCTTTTTTGAATATGGCCTCAAAAATCAAGAAATCTTTCTCTTCTAATATGTCATCAACCATTTGATAGAAGCTTGTTGGACTTTGACTTGGGGTGGGGGAGGTGGCATTAGTAGTAGAATCCTAATGATAGAATCCCTACTTCTCAATGTTGGAGATCTGGAGTCCTGGTGTAATGCTGTGGAATAAACATTGGACTGCTAACCTATCAGTCACGCCTCAGAAACCTTAGATAAGGTTGCTGTGAGTCAGAACCAATTGCACAGCACTTAACCAGAGCAATGCTGGAGACCCAGGTTTGATTACTCGCCAGCACATCTCATGTGCAGCCACCGTCCATCAGTGGAGGCTTAGACATTGCTATAAAGCTAAACAGTCTTCATCAGAACTTCCAAACCAAGAGGTAGTAGGAAGAAATGACTCCAAAAAATCAGCCAATGAATTCCCTGTTGATCACAACAAGGTGTGATCCATAGTTAGTCATGAGGATAACACAGGCTCAGACAGAATTTCATTGTACTTGAGGTTGCCTTGAGTCAGAGACTGATTCTGTAATCAGCAATGGAGGTTAGTGAGATGAATTAAAGAACTAGAATCTCCAGAAAGTAGAAGTTTGATTAAGTACACTTGGGACACAGGTTCATGAGTAAGTAAATTGTTGAATGCAGATTCAAGAATGTGTTGTTAATTTTATTTGAATTAGTTGGTTATGATATTTTCGATCATGTCTTATCTTTTGTAGACATCTTAAAGAGATTCAAGACCTTCAGAGTCGCCAGAAGCATGAAATTGAATCTTTGTATACCAAACTAGGCAAGGTACCCCCTGCTGTGATTATCCCCCCAGCTGCTCCCCTTTCAGGGAGAAGAAGACGACTCACTAAAAGCAAAAGCAGTAAATCTAGTCGCAGCAGTTCCATAGGAAATAAAAGCCCCCAACTTTCAGGTAAAAAAAAAAAAACAACAACAAAACTATAAATGGAACAAGTCATCAATGACTGTACCATATGCTGTCTCTAACTGTATGTGTAACCTGTTGGATATATTTTATTTTTGCTAAATTTCAAAGGAGTTTAGTTTTCCTAATGTTCTTGCTTCCTTTATTCTTATTACTTGTTTTATCTCTGCATCTGTATTCACTTGACAGTTTACCCTGTGTCTTTGTGTCTTTATATGTTCATATGAGCTTTTTATGAGGATACCACTCAGATATGATTCAGACTCACTTTAATCCAGTATGACCTCATCCTAGTTTAACTAATTACATCTGCAAAAACTCTGTTTCCAAATAAGGTCACATTCTAAGGTTCCAGGTGGACATGAATGTTTGGGGGACACTTTCCATCTGAGTTGTTGTTGTTGTTAGGTGCCATCAAGTTGGTACCAACTCACAGTGACCTTATGCACAGCAGAATAAAACACTGACCGATCCTGGGCCAACCTCACTACTGTTGCCATGCTTGAGTCCATCGATGCTGCTACTTGGCCAATCCATCTCATTGGGGGTCTTCCTCTTTTTCTCTGACCCTCCACCTTACCAAACATGATATCCTTCTCCAGCAACTGGTCCCTCCTGACAATATATCCAAAGTATGAGACACAAAGCTTGGCCATCTTGGCCTCCAAGAAGCATTCTGGTTGCACTTCTTCCAAAACAGATCTATTGGTTCTTTTGGCAGCACTTTCAATATTCTCTTCCAACACCATAACTCAAATGCATCAATTCTTCTACCGTCTTCCTTATTCACTGCCCAGCTTTCACATGCATATCAGGCTATTGAAAATACCATGGCTTGGGTCAGGCGCACCTTAGTCCTCAAGCTGACATCGTTGCTCTTCAACACTTTCAAAAGGTCTTGTGCAGCAGACCTTTTTAATCGAATGATGTATTGCATTATGCAAATCCATCTGAGTAAACCTAATAATACTATATTTATAGATTCAAGGGATTGGGACTTGTTCAGGATCACTGTTCAACCTGTTACAGAAGCCCTCTGTACATTGTTGTTGTTGTTAAGAGCCATCAAGTCGGTTCTGACCCATAGCGACCCGTGACCCTGTAACAGGGTTTCCGAGGTTGTAAATCTTTACAGGAGCAGAAAGCCTCATCTTTCTCCTGCGGAGCGGCTGATAGTCTCGAACTGCTGACCTTAAGGTTCACAGCCCGATTCGTAACCACTACGCTACCAGACCCTATGTAAAGGGTGAAGATAATAAGAATACTCATGTTCCACTAAAATTGCTAAGGAAATACCACAGGCTTGGCTGACTTCATGTGTACAGTCACACAAGATTCCACAGACTCCACACTTTAAAGGTCTCCATATTTGGTTTAATGCTCTGCTGTCACCATCTTGAAATTTTGTTCAAAATTTTCAGATCCTGCATTTTCATTTTGCAATTTTGGTATTATTGTCAAGTGCTGTCTAGTTGATTCTGATGTCCCCATGTACAACAGAAAACTTCCTGTGCCTCACAGTTGTTTTCCTTGAGCCCACTGTTGCAGCCTCTATGCCAATCAGTCTCATTGAGGGTCTTCCTTTTTTTTTGTTCTTTTAGTATATAAACCCATATACCTAATACACTGATGACTTTTTATGGTCAGAACTGAGCAGTTCTTATTTGTATGTGCTGTTGAGTCGGTTCTGACTCATCGACCTAAAGCACAACAGAACAAAACACTGCCTGATCCTGTGCCATGCTCACAGTTATTGTAACTCTTGAACCCATTGTTGCTACCCCTGTGTCAATCCATCTCGTTGGGGGGTGTTTTATACTTTAGTGCTGACCCTCCACCTTACCAAGCATGATGTCCTTCTCTAAAGACTGACTCCTTCTAATAATATGGCCAAAGCATGAGAGACGAAGTCTCACCATCCAGATTTCTAACGATCATTCTGGTTATACTTTATCCAATACAGATTTGTTTGTCCTTTTGGCAGTCCATGGTACTTTGATTATTTTTCTCCAACACCATAACTCAAAAATACCAATTATTCCAGTCTTCTTTATTCATTGTCAAACTTTCACATGCATATGAGGTTATTGAAAATACCATGGCTTGAACCATATGTACCCTAGTCCTCAAACTGAAGATCTTTGCTCTTGAATACCTTAAAGAGATCAAATCAGAAACAGGGTCACTGTGATTTGGAACTGTCTTGAAGGCACTTAACAACAACAGCAATGAAATAACATCGTTTGATTGCTTGACAGTTGCTTCCCTGAGTGCTGATTATGATTGTTGTTAGGTGCCATCAAATCAGTTCTGACCCATAGCGACCCTGTATAAAACAGAAAGAAGCATCATCCAGTCTTGCACCATCTGCACAGTTGTTTCTACACTTGGGCCTGTTGCTTTGCCACGGTACCAGTCCATCTTGTTGGGGATCCTACTCTTTTATTACTGATCCTCCACTTTTCAAAGCATAATGTCGTTTTTCAGGGAGTGGTCCCTCCTGATAATGTGTCTGTAGTATAGAGACGAAGTCTGGCCATCTTGGCTTCTAAGGAGCATTCTGGTTGTACTTTTTCTAATACAGATTTGCTTGTTCCTCTGGCAGTCCATGGACCTTTAATATTCTTCTCCAACACCATACCTCAAATGTATCAGTTCTTCTGCGGTCTTCTTTATTCACTGTCCGACTTTCACATTGTCGAGACAAGCAAAATGAAGTCTTTGACAACTTCAATCTTTTCTCCATTTATCCTATGTTAACTAGTCCAGTTGTGAGAATTTTTCTTTTCTTTACATTGAGTGCAACCATATCTAAGTCTGTGGCCTTTGATCTTCATCAACAAGTATATTAAGTCCTCTTTGCTTCCAGCAAGCAAGGTTATATCATTTGCATATCACAGGTTGTTAGTGAGTCTTCCTTCAATCTTAAATGCCACATTCTTCTTCATATAATCCAGCTTCTCGGATTATTTGCTCAGTGTACAGAATAAATAAGTTTGGTGAAAAGATACAACCCTGATGTACACCTTTCCTCATGTTAAACCATTCAGTGACCCTTTTTCTTCTCAAACGACTGCCTCTTGGTCTGTGCACAGATTCTTCATGTGCACTATGAGATTGTCAGATTCAGAATGACCAATATCAGTTTACTTCAGCTCACTAATACCATGGATTTATGGATTCCATTTCATTTTTGAAAACTTCCAGTTTTCCTAGATTCATTTTTGGGACATTCCATGTTCCAAGTATTAATGAATGTTTACAGCTGTTTCACCTCATTTTAAATTGTGCCTTATCAGCAAATGAAATTCCTGAAAGCTTTACTCCATTTGCGTCATCATTGGTCAACTACTTCAAGGGAGGCAGTTCTTCCCAAGTTATATTTTGAGTGTCTTCCAACCTGAAGAGCTCATATTTCAGTACTGTATCTGACAATATTCTGTTGCTCCTCATCATGTTTCCGTATTCAATATTCTTGTGCTATCTGACAGTGTTCCACTGCTATTGATAAGGTTTCAGTGGCTAAACGTTCAGAAATCCTTCTTCCTAGTCTGTATTAGTCTGGGAGCTCAGCTGAAACCTGTCTCCATCACAAGCGATCCTGCTGGTATTTAAAATACTGGTGGCTTAACTTCCAGCATCATAGCATCACACAGGTCACCACAGTACGACAAACTGAGAGACGAGTGACGCGCAGATTGAATAAGTATAGTGAAAGTGTACAACCCTGGTGCATGCATTTCCTGATTTTAAACCAATCAGTATCCCCTTGTTCTGTTCAAACAACTGCCTCGTATTCTATGTACAGGTTCCTTATGAGCACAATTAAGAGTTCTGTAATAGCTATTCTTCATAATGTTTTCCATAGTTTATAATGATCCACACAGTCAAAATCCTTTGCATAGTCAACAAAGCACAGATAAACATCTTTCTGGTGGTAGTCTCTGCTTCCAGCCAAGATCCATCTGACATCAGCAATAATACCTCTCACTTATGTCCTCTTCTGAGTCCAGTTTGAGTTTCTGGAAGTTTCCTGTCAATACACTGTTGTAACAATTTTTTTTTTTTTAATTAGCAAAATTTTATTTGCATGTGATAATAATGATATTGTTCATTGGTTTCTGCATTCCATTGGAAGTCTTTGGAATGGGCACAAATAACGGATCTCTTCCAATCAGTTGTAACAAAATTTCTTGGCACAAATAAGTGAATGCCTCATGTGCTGCATCACTTGGTTGAAAGATTTCAATTTGTATTCTGTCAATTCCTGGAGCTTTGTTTTTTGCCAATACCTTCAGTGCAGCTTGGACTTCTTCCTTAAATACCTTTGTCTCTTGATCATAAGCTCTACCCCTTGAAATGGTTGAACATCGGCCATTTCTTTAGGTACAGTGACTGTGTATTTCTTCCTTCTTCTCTCAATACTTTCTGCATCATTAAATATTTTGTCCAGAATCCATCAATATTTCAAGTCAAGACTTGAATGTCTTCTTCAGTTCTTTCTGCTTGAGAAATGCTGAGCGTGTTCTTCCCCTTTTTATTTTCTAACTCCAGGTCTTTGCACATTTCATTATAATACTTGACTTTGTCTTATCAAGCTGCCCTTTGAAATTTTCTGCTCATCTCTTTTACTTCCTCATTTCTTCCATTTGCTTTAGCATCTCTATGCTGGTGAACAGTTTCAGAGTCTCTTCTTGATATCATCCCACAGCTCTTCTTTCTTGATTTTTGGTCATTAGTGTTTAATACATCAAATCTGTTCCTGAGATGATCTCTTAATTCATGTGGGATATGTTGAGGGTCACATTTTGGTTCTTATGGACTTGTTTTAATTTTCTTCAGCTTCAACCTAAACTTGCATTCAAGTCTACCCCTGGTCTTGTATTGGCTGATACCAAGTTTTTCTACCGCTTCTTCCCACAGATGTAGTCAATTTGATTACTTATATTCCATCTAGTAAGGTCCATGTGTATAGTAAGTTGTCTCTTACGTTGTTTTAAAAAGGTGTTTGCAATGAGTAAGTCATTGGTCTTGCAAAATTGTGTCATGTTATCTCTAGTATCATTTCTATCACCAAGGCCATATTTTCCAATGATTGTTTCCAACTTTTGCGTTTAGTCACCAGTATTTATTAATACATCTTGGATGCATGTTTCATCAATTTCAGGCTGAAGAAGTTAGTATAATTCTTTGGTTTCAAACAGTTCTTAATGATAAGTAAATGTAGGATTTTTTAGTCATTAAATTTTTGTCTTTGTTTTGTGTCATGCATGACTTTTATTATTTGTTTATTAACTGCCTTCCCATAACCTAAGTTAATACATTATCTGCCCTCTAGCCTGTGAATACTTCTCCCCTCCTACCCAATTTATAGTTATTTTTAAGGAAAAAAAAAACACTTTTAGTTTGACTGTTGACCCATATAACTCACGTTTACAAATTCTTGGGCAGTTAAAAAAAAAAATACATTGTTTTTTAATGAATGAGTTGGTCATAAGTGCAACTGGGATAAATTTGGATATCATAGATATTTATTTGGGTAGTCCTGGTGTGGTGCTATGAGTTAATGCACCAGACTGCAAAGGCACTTTGAACTGTAAGGTCAGCGGTTCAAGCTCACCAGCTGCTCCTCAGAAACCCTATACAACGTCTCTATGAGTCGGAACCAACTTGATGGCACTCCACAACAACAACAACCAGTGGTAATTGGAGTTCTGATGAGGTGCTGTGGGATCAGCACTAGACTGTTAACCGCAAGGTCCACAGGTCCAACCTACTAGCCCAAAACCCTATACAGGGCGGCTATTGCACTGGTGTGGCACTGTGGGTTAATGCGCCAGCCTACAAAGCCATTTGAACTGCAGGGTCAGCGCTTCAAGCTCACCAGCTGCTCCTCAGAAACTCTATATAATAGGGTTGCTATGGGTCAGAACCGACTCAACGGCACTGAACAACAACCAACCTCAAGGTTCTCAGTTCAGACCCCAGCACTCCCTAGAGACCTTATACAGAGTCTGCAAGTCTGAACTGACTCAACAGCATATAGTAACTTTGATTTTTTTTTTTTTTTTCCTTTAGCTGTAGTGGGGTAGAGGACTTGCAAGTGGTCAGTAACCAAAGAAAGAGTTCAATCATAATTTTTTTACAGGACTATAATTTATCTATTTATCTTGACTGTGATATATTAAAAATGGGTTTCGAAACATTCATGAAAAAAATGAAGTTAAAAGATGCTGGAGTTTTTTTTTGTTTTGTTTTGTTTTTGAAGACTTCCTGTATACAGTTTTGTGAATTTCTTATAATCTCAACAGATAATTTCCTGAAAAGTGAAAAAAGTCTATATTTCTTACATATTTTTCCAATCTAATATAAATTTGTTGGAAACCAGTTGCAAATTTTACAGGAGTTCTCCATTAGAAACTTTTCAGAGATTCCCATACCTTTTCTCTCTAGTACATTAGAGCCAATTCATGCAACTCAATTCATAGAGATGAAATTAGAAGGGGATAGTAAGTAATTTAGATTCTGATTCCAGTTTTAACATACTTTTTTAGTCAACTTATACTCATTTAGTAAATAGGCATTAGAGAAATCCGTTTCAGGATAACTTGACTTAGTAATTGAAAGCCATCTACCAAGAATACTTGTTGTTGTATGCCATGGAGTCGGTTCCGACTCATAGTGACCCTCCACAGGGTTTCCAAGGCTGTTAATCTTTACGGGAGCAGAACGCCTCATCTTTCTCCCGCGGAGCAGCTGGTAGTTTCGAACTGCTGACCTTGCGGTTCGCAGCCCGATTCGTAACCACTGCTCTACCAGAGCTCAGACTTGTGACCTCTCTATCTAAAGTTCAAGGTCTCACATGGGAAAGTTTCATATAGAGCAATAGTCTGCCCTTGTGCCTATTTATTCTCATGCCTTTCCTCGCTCCCCTCCTGTCTGTAACGCCTTTGTTCTTTAATCCACCATTAGTCACTCGATGGGACAAATTGAACCTATTAAGAATGGTGTTTTATGAAGTGCATTGGGAAAGTATACATGTTTCCTCATGGTACTTTCTTTTGACAGGTAATCTGTCTGTTCAGAGTGCAGCTTCAATTTTGCACCCCCAGCAGACCCTCCACCCACCTGGCAACATCCCAGAGACTGGGCAGAATCAACTGTTACAGCCCCTAAAGCCATCTCCCTCCAGTGACAACCTCTATTCAGCCTTCACCAGTGATGGTGCCATTTCAGTACCAAGCCTTTCTGCTCCTGGTCAAGGTAAGAAGTCAAAGCAACCATCATTTTCCAAAAAACATTAAAATGGAGATATTGGCAGACCTAGAACAAAAATCTGATGAGTATAACCTGTTGTTAGGTGAGTTGGGAGACAGGCCAGCTGACCAGAAAACAGTTTGGATAACTCATTTGGGATTGGGGACTTATGCTTTAAAATCAGACTTCCCAGCTCAAATTTTTAAAGACTTAGCAATTTCTGAAAGCTAATGTATTTGCCTACAAGGATGTAAATGCTTTTGGCATCTTAGTAAGTAGTAGAATATGAAGGTGAATAAATCTACAGTTCAATTTTTTAGCCATAATCTTATTTTCCAAATATAGTTTTGTGAGATTACAACTCAAAACATTCTACAGAATAAAGATTTAGTAACACTAGAATGAGAATTGAAAAGAGATTAGATACCTTGGTGAAAAAGAATAGGAGCAAATATAAATAACTAGTTCAGCTGCCTTTGTCACAAAATCACAGAAATTAGAGATTAGAGTGTTTCTTCACAAGATGAATGTCCTTGCTTAGTAATCAGCATAGCCTAGCTAAATTTTTTCAGCTGAGAAAAGCTTCAGTATTTTTCAGGTAGAGGGAACTGAGTCCTAATATTTCTTGTGCTGTATATCTGCCCTTTCCCCCAGAAGCTTGTCTTCTGTGTGCCATCTTAGTGCATTTCACCACTTCAGCCTCAAGTTTCTAACATCTTGTAGTTGTGTTCTGTCTCTTTTCCTCTCTCTGTTCTTCCCTGTTTTTCCCCTTCTCACAGGCTGTGCGAAGTTTAACTGTGCATCTGAGCAGGTGACATTCAAACCTGGTGGCAGGAGGACCCGATTTCTGAGTACGCCCTGCTTGGCTCTTTGTGTGTAACACCTTTACTCCTTCCTCGTCTTTGTTTTTCTGCTGCTTGGGTCTGATGTTTCACGCAGCCCATTTTCATTTGTCTCTTTGTATATCATCTACTCAATCGCTTGGCTGAACTGTTACCCTCAGAAGTTTGGGTCCTCATGTTAATTATGGTAAAAGATGTAGAAATAATAATGGGTTTCTATAAGCTTCAAAGTAAATTCTGTAGAACTGCTTTTTCATAAATCCTTGACAGAGAGTAGATTGGTATCAAGACTGCTATGTCATTTAGAATCATACAGAATGAACTTAAGTCATGTTCAGTCTTGCTTTTCCCTCGCATTAGAAGTGACAGGAAGCATTATGACCACTGATGCTTTAGATCCTTTTAGCAGGTAAAAGACACACCCTATTTTTCTATTCTTATCTTTCAGAGTAAATTAAAGTCTTTTTTTTCTCTCTCTCTCTTTTTTTACCTTTTCAGTTAAGCCTAAGCATCTACTAGTTGAAAAGATGCGTTTCTATTCATTGGTTCATTCCTCCACCACTACCCTCTCTCCCCATTAAGTTAATAATTCAAAAAGGGGTTTTTAGTGTACACAGGTTAAGCACTTATTATGTTAGAGACCAAGGCCTAGCACCTGCATGTGAACATTTTTGACATAATGGTTGGGATTCCCCAGTGCTGTACTTAAAAATAAAGCTGAGTAGCAAGTTACCCAACCTCTTCCACCTCATCCTCACTCATAAATAAAGAAGATGCTTGTCTCAAAGGGCTACTGTACAAATCAAATAAGCTTATGTACCCATAAACATGTAGCTCTTAGGAAGCACTCACAGTTCCCCTTTCATTAGCAAGGACTTTACCTGGCACATGTATTTTAATACCATTTTTTAATAATCAGTAAATGCACAGTGAAATGAAAAGTAGAAAAGTTTTGATAGAGTCTGGATAAAAATCTTCTCTATTAAGGCCTCAAACTTCTGATGTGGTTATTGAAGTGCTTTTTAAATGCATGTACTAAGGTCATCACTGTTTTGGAGTATGGTTCAGAGGTCTTTGGACCTCTTAATGGTGGAAAGAATTTATACTACCTCCCCGCTTTGTTCTCTGTAATGACCAGATTTCAAAGGAAAGTACATCAAATTTGCCTTTATGTATTACATTGAATTTTCATTTTCCTCATTCATACACAGTAATAATTCTAGTACCCTTGGTTTTTTTTTTTTTCGTTTATTTGTTTTTTACTTTTTTTCCCCCTCCATTAGTAATGGATTGACTGTACTATAGAGACTATAGAGAATGTCTTTTGCTGCCTTCCCCCGTCTATCATATATTACTGGGCCATTTAGCAAAAGAAGAGGTGGGAGATAGTTCTCAGTTTGGTACAGTAGGGTAGTTTTCCAAGCATATCAGATTTTGAGGACTCAGATTAATAACTTTTCTGTCAGACTTACCTGGACCAAGCATATTAGTACCTTGACACTTGAATAAGCATTTAATGTTCATGTCCACTTAGAAAGATGAAAAGACATTAATAATAGGGGTGGCTATTTTGAAGTAGTATGTGACATGCTAGGCCTGTTACACAGCCTGAAATGTCTGAAAGGGGAGAAAGAAAACCAAGGTCTTTTAGTGAAGTGTAACATGACAGGTACCACTTTATACATTTATAAATTCTCCTCACACTCTGAAAGGTAGGTTATATTATCCCTGTTCAATGAAAATGATTAGAAAGATTAAGTAATTCAAATATAGCTAGTGAGGCTGTGTTCGTCTAACAAAGCCCAGGCTTCTTAGAATTTACTTGCTGCATCCTACGAACCAGTCTCATTTACCTGTTAGAGAATAATAGGGTGTGGGTGCCATTATTGAAATCTTATCATTTTCCTTTGGGTCTAAAATAAAGACAACCCTACATACCTTAAAGGCACATCAGTATCCATCATGTAAGCCTCAGTGAACAAATGCCAACAGACAGACTTAAGACAAATATAGAAAAAAAGGTATTTTTAGGGATGGGAATTTTACTAGGTTTGGGTGTATTATTTTGTGCTCTCAAAATAGGTTATGTTTGTTAGCACGGCTTAGCTTAATGCTCTATCTTCAGAGACTGCTTGTTTTCCACAATTCTTTTAAAGATTTTTCTGGAAAGGAAGGAGGTCATATGTATGTACATCTATATAGTATCTATGATGTGGGAAATATAATAGCTAATTTAATTAACTTAAAATAAAACTGTAACAGCCTACTGTAGTAGGATTGCTAATGCATTTAATTGAGTATTTAAAAACCCAGCAGGAGAAACAGAAAGTGGGACAGGGTCAATGGAAAGACTGCTTAGCTGTTTGAAATTTAAAGCAGTGAGCCCTAAGAGACTGGAGGACCTCCCCTATTCCAGGTTGGAAGATGCAGGGCATTATTCTTTTAGATACAAACATTGTATGTGGGAACTCAGCTTCTGTAAGTAAGCCAGGTACCATTGTCCATTAGTTAAAATTAACAGTCAGTTAGCTACATCCCATAGAACTGTGTGTCTGACAGGAGCTACCATGCCCTACCAATCTGTCTCCCCTCCTGTTTTCTCTTGCTGGGCTTTTATGTGCTGTTTGGAGATTCTAAATATTTTACACTGATGTTTCTTTATCTTTAACACATTGCTCTCTCTTTGTGCTTCAGGGAAGATGGTGAAAAAAGTCTGTCCTTGCAACCAGCTCTGTAGTAATTATCTTTTCTTTCTGTTATTTTTGGTCCTTGATTTCAAAGCCTGTTGCCCATGATTTCTTTGAATCCTGAAGTTTCACACATCCCTGATTCCTAACTTACACTGTTAAATCACTGTATCCTTATCTAATATTTTCTCTAACGTGCTTACTTGCTCACTACTGGCTGTTCTTCCTAATTGAAAAATCACCTCATAGTCAATGGTCTCAGTGATGACCCCTGTGAATCTACCTCTGTAACAGGCATGGATGGATAATGCTGAAGGATATGTATAGGAAGATCAGGGATGCCTACCTCCTGTGAGGTAAAGAGCCATTTAGAAATTGCCAAGTATATGCCAGACTTTGTTCTAATCCCTAGGAAATCAGCAATGATCAAAGCATACAAAAGTCCTTGCCCTTATAGTTTACATCAGCATGGGAGGTGTCTATTAGATCACTGAGGAGAGAAACACTACTTTTTGTATGTAGAGTTGGCTTCTTATATTGGTGGTGGCTCATTAAAATGCAGATAGTTCAACATTCCAACTGGATACCTCCAGGGTAATACAAGAAAATGCAATCCTTGAGATACTGAGCAGTAAGTTGTGGTTCATAATAAATTGTTACTAGAATCTGACGATACTAAGTCAAGGGATATATTATAGCAAGAGGAAATGTTAAAAAGTTCATTGGGGGGTAAATTTTAGGTCTTTTCAATAAAACTAAAAAGGGTTTAGAAGTTAATTAGGACACTGTGAAAGGCTTCTCTCCTAACCTTACATTGAAGTCTACTCTTCCCAGGAGTTGATTTCCGGTCAGAAAGGGATTGTTGTATTTATTTATTCCCTTCTCTAACAAACGCTTGTTTCCAGAAGCCAGAATAAGGAGGTCATTTGTATAATTACCTCTCTCTCCTGGCGTAAACTCCACTTTTAGAATCTAATAATTATCTAATAGAATTGTTAAGAGCCATTGAGTCAATTCTGACCCATAGTGACCCTGTATAGTGTTTCTAAGGAGTGGTTGATGAGCTTGAACTGCCGACCTTGTGGTTCAAACCTATTTTGGAGTACAGTGCATTAACCCACAGTGCCACACCAGGACTCCTCTAATAGAATAGAAAGGTTAAAATGAAATTTGGTTATACAGGGACTTCACAGCATCAAGGAGGCCTAGCCATCAGACTAGCGAGGTGTGACTCCCAGCATGAGCTTGTTGTGAATGAGCAGTGCTCACTTGTGATGATTTCTGGTTTTGTCTCACTCATCATCAGGCTCACTAAGCAATAATCATTCAACCCAGATGCCAGCCCTCATGCATGTGAGATTGTTGCTTTCTGGATTTCCTCGCTATCATGACTGTCTGTCTTCACTGCCTGTGCTTCCTGCTTCACCCTGACTACATTTGCTATTCAAGGAAGGCTGTTTCCTGTGCTGTTTACTTTTCCAGTAGGGTTTCCTATACTGCAAGGGCTCTTAACTCTTTCCTTTACATTGTATATGCACTAGCAATTCCTTAGTGGCTCCAGCAGACATTAAGAAGTGAGCTGATATTCACCCTGCAATGGTTCTGTCTTGCCATGGTGTTAAGAAGCATGTGACCTTCCTCAGTCTGCAGTTGCATCTCAGAATTAACCAATACTCTAGCACTGGCATGCTTGTGTGTGCCATTTCCTGGGTGGTACATTTTAAATTTGAGACCAGCACCAAGGACTTGTAAATGGCAGGTTTGCTTCAGGTGTGCTGCTGTGCTCTGGTGTGGCTTTGATCTTAAAAGCAGGGAAAACGTGTGCACTTAGTTTGCACCCAGCATTTCTTGGGTATCTTACAGACTGTTGGCTCACAACTTTAGTAGCTTTTATGTATTTTGCAGCAATGACTGGTAAGAGAATGGGGATGGGGATAAAAAACAAAACTATGACTCTTCTCTCCCTCTTCCCTAATACTTGCCTCTTCGAATAATCTTCAGTGTGCCCTCCAGCAGAGCCGAAATCAGGCAGGCCACAGACTCCTTATTTCTCATCAAACCACAGGAATAGAATACCTTCATCATAGCTTCTTCCTCCCTTTTGCACCCCTGCCTCAACTGAATGTTCCTGCTGCCTTCCACCTGGGGATGCTTACTGTTCTGGGAAGATTGGGGTGGGCGGGGGAGGGTGCTAAAGGGGCGGGTAAAAGGCTAAGAATTCTTGAACCAATTGAAACTGAGGTTGTCTTCAAGAAAACCGTATCTTCCAGGAGTTGAAGGCCTCAGGCCCACGCTAGAGCCCCATCCTCATGAGTAATCTTGGTTCTTTACTCAAGAGAAACTGGGAGGTGCTGAAAGCTTAATTTCTCCCAAGAATATGTGTATATTTTCATGTTTATGGATCCAGTTGAGAAAGTGTTTTTGAACAGAGCATGCTACTACTTCTCTTATCACTACTTTTTATTTTAAAATGGCTAAAGAATGTGGCAATATTGGAACTCCATCTTCTTTTGGGCAAAGCTTTGTGTTTCTCTTACTCCTACTTTAACCTTGCCCAGTGTACAAGAATTTCTCTTCTTTTGCCCTGAATGCTGCAAAATCCCACCACACCAAACTTCATTGACCATATAGCACACCTCCTTCATCAGCCTGATGCTGTGATGCTGGGAAACAGTGCTGGCATTCAGTTCCAGCACTCTTTTTTAAGGTTGTATATAAATGGCTGAGAGAGGTCCCTGCCCTTTGTGCCTACTGTCAGGATATCCTAAGATGTTCATCCTTAGGTGTTCCTGAAAAGAATCTGTTTTCATTACCCTATAATGTCAAAGTAAATTGCTAAATAAAACCGTGTCTTCCTTTCTTGCATGGCTTTCTAATTCATCTTCTCCCCATTCTGTGGCTTGCCATTTATCTTCCTATAGTTTACCCTCTTCCTGAAATTATAACCCCGGCTGCTTTTAATGTGTATTTTCTGCTGCTCCTTATAACTCTAGGGACTAGCAGTACAAATACCGTCGGGGGAGCAGTGAACAGCCAAGCCCCTCAAGCTCAGCCTCCTGCCTTGACATCCAGCAGGAAGGGTACATTCACAGATGACCTGCACAAGTTGGTAGACAATTGGGCCCGAGATGCCATGAATCTTTCAGGCAGGAGAGGAAGCAAAGGACACATGAATTATGAGGTAAGTATTCCCTTTTTGCCATTTTCTAATCTGTCAGGTGCTGTAGAATCAGCACTGGACTGGTAATCTCAAGGTCGACAGTTCAAATCCAGCAGCTGCTATTGGAAAACCTACGCAGGGTCTCTAGGAGTCGGAATCAACTGGATGGCACACAACAACATCAGAATATCACAGCACACATCAGAGGCAATATAAATTATCTAGATTGTTGTTGTTATTGTTGTTAGGTACCTTTGAGTTAGTTCTATTGACCCTGTATAGGGTTTCTAATGAGTGACTGGTGAGTTTGAACCACTGACCTTGCAGTCCACTGTGTTACCCACAGCACCACACCAGGACTCCAGATCAGTACTTCATATTGTGCTATCACCTTTAAGAGCACATATATTTTAGCACTGTAACAAGATTAAAAATTGTCCAGTTACCTTTTTTTTTCTTCCTTCTCTATACCTATAGTTCCCTATTCCTTAAACACACTGATCTACATGCCCATAAACACATGCTCTTCCCATTCCAATCAGAATAGATATTCTCACCTCTATCTGGCAAGTGTAACAAGTCAGTAAATATTATGGAAGTTTTTATTTTGCTATGCTCTATGATATTATAACAGTCCCAGTTCTAGACTTAATATTTTAGTACCACCTATTTCACACCTATGGGTATTAATAGCTACACCAAACTTTACACTTACTTGTTTTGTTTTCAGGGCCCTGGAATGGCAAGGAAGTTCTCTGCACCTGGTCAGCTGTGTATCTCCATGACCTCAAACCTGGGTGGCTCTGCCCCCATTTCTGCAGCATCAGCTACCTCTCTAGGTCACTTCACCACCAAGTCTATGTGCCCTCCACAGCAGTACGGTTTTCCAACTGCCCCCTTTGGCACCCAGTGGAGTGGGACAGGTGGCCCAGCACCACAGCCACTTGGCCAGTTCCAACCCGTGCCAGCTGCCTCCTTACAGAATTTCAACATCAGCAATTTGCAGAAATCCATCAGCAACCCCCCAGGTTCTAACCTGCGGACCACTTAAATCTAGAGACATTCACTGAGTAAATTTGGGGGCAGGAGATGGAATGCTGGGGCTGGGGGTGGGGTGGGAAAGTAACCTATATACTAACTACTAGTGCTGCATTTAACTGGTTATTTCTTGCCAGAAGGGAATGTTTTTAATACAGCTTTGAGCCCTCAGAATGGAGAATTTCCCTCCCCCTTCATCTTTTATTGGAGTGGGACAAGAAGAGCAGCTTTCTTGTGATGGGGCAGCTTCAGACTATGCTTTCCTATTTCTCTGTATTCAACGGTGAGGGCTAGGAAAGAGATCATATTTATTAGGAAGCTATGAGAGAGCTCACTGTAAAACCAGGCTCCTTCCTTCCCTGTATTTTCAGATCACTGGAGCTCTTAATTTGGTACCACCACAAATCTCTTACTCCTTCAAGATTCCAGACCACAAGGCAAAAAAAATAGGCTCTCTTCTACCCTGTCTCCCTCTTTTTTTTTGTTTTTCAACTCTAGAACCCAGTGAAAAACCAAGGGACTGGGGTAACCACCGTTTCTAAAGAATAGGTCATTAGTGCTTTAAGCAAAAGATATTAGCAGCTTGACTGCAGCATCAGCAATTAGGAAAAAAGATTAAGTTCCCTGCGGACATGTAACTTTGCCATCAGTTTTGATGTGGAAACACTGTGATATATAAATGTTGTTGGACAACAGTAGTTTTAAAAGTAAAATATGAAAGATATAAAAAGTTCAAAAAAAAAAAAAAAAAAGCTAGCTCTGTCCTTTACTTATTGAGACACTTTAACTTTTTTCCTTTGTATTTCCATTGTATTAGATAAATAAATGTGAATGTAAAATTGTATAAATTACTGTACTTGAATACTTCTGTTCTCCCAGTATTGCTTGCTGGATATTTTAGTGCCTTGGACTTCTACTGCTTCTGCCATTAGCATCAATTTCTCATCAGACCCCAGATCAGCAGAGGGCATGTGGAAGGAAATCTTAGGTCCATGTGACCCCAGCAGTGGATATGCCAAAGGGAAATTGAGAGGTTTTTGTTTTTAAGTCATTTAACAATTTTGTCTAGAGCAGGTGTAAGATGAGCAGGGTGAGAAGTTAAGTTGACATCAGTGGTTGAGAGCAGAATGTTCTGCTTGGGGAACATTGAGAACAGGTGTTATAAAATTGGGCAACTTAGACGGTAAAGAGGTGACATGTGCAAAACATACAGAAAAGACTTGAGAATGGGAGAACAAACTTGAAGATACATGACGCCTGGCCAGTGGTTGCCTTATGCCTTATTTGAGCTGGGCTTGAATAGATGAGTCCAAGAGAAATGGCTGAACATGAAGGGGATTGGGGCTGGTCTTAAGTTGGGAAATGTGATAGTGAAAAGTCACAGATGGAGAAAGTTGCTCTAAAAAACTGTTTGGATTGCTTTCCTGTTGTTACACATGTACCATGCATTTTTCAGCTTGGGTTACTATCTTCTGTGGAAAGTAGACCCACATATGAATTAAGAATTTTAAGAAAGAATGCTTATTCTTATCCATTTCCTGTGATGCCCAAATGGTTGCAGGTTTATAATCTATTGTGCCACTTTTAATATTTCTAGAATTGCAACTGATAGTCTCATACTTTCATATAAACAAATTATTTCCCTTAATAACTGCAACCAACCAGTATTATTTAGCATTATGCCTAGTGTGATGGACATTTATTTACAAAGCTTTCAGAAAATATTTCCTAATTGGCTATGTTTGGGATCTTTATTGTCTCTGAAGATGGGCAAAGAAGCTAGAACTCTTAATTTTGAGGGTGCTTCTTGACTCTTACTTGTAAAATTGACAGACTTCCAATCTCTTATCCACCTCAATGGCACATCCCAGGATCACAAAAAAAAAAAAAAAAAAAATAGGAAGAGCCTGGTGGTTATCTGGATCCTGTTTGTTCCTTTCTGGGCTGGAGTTCCAAGTCCTCATTTTAAAAGAGGGTGTTTGTTTATTCTCTGCTGATAATTTTTGGAGAGAGGAAAAGAGTAAGGATAGAATAAAGAAGGTGCCACATAAATGAGAAATGGACCACCTAAGAGGAACAAAACGATACTTTCCACCAGAGGAACAAAGGAACCAAATGCAGCACATTGTGGTTTCATTATTTTGGTTTAATAATTTTGAGATCTCTTCACTTACATACAAGAAGAACTGGTTTTATTTACTGTTGATTTTCTTTCCCTCCTGTGGATGAAATAACTGAAGCCTAGAGGAATGAACTAGTGCTACTGAACTGTTTAAATTATTTTTGTGTTAATAGTACACTTTGAGTATCTTTTTCCACATTAAAAAAAAAAAAAAATCTTTCTGAATTATAAATGTTTTCCTTACATTATTTAACAATGTACACTGTCTAAAAAAAATAAAATTAATTCAAACCTTGGGGGTTTCTCAGCAGCCGTTAATTGTACATTTTGCACTAACTCGGGTGTTGCGCTTCTTGTAAGATTGCGCTTTGTGCTTCAGTTTGTTACCTTTGTAGACTTATTTAATGAAACCATTCAAATAAACCAAACGCTTTTGTTGAGTTGTGTGGTTTCATTTCTAGAAAATTTTACACGTTCTTAGATCTATTTTGAGTTGTATGCAATTTATAACTGAACTCCTAATTCATACAGACTTTTCTTTTAAAGCATCAGTTCTGTCCTGAACTAAGATTATGATGCAGACAAGAGGCCAAGGACATTTTTCCTGAGGAAAAGTGGTACAGACATGAAAATCAAAAGATGACCAAATCCAGGCAACAAGATTTAGAAAGGCAAAAACTTTTAGAAGATGAGGAAATTGGGGTAAGCTGCTGCCTCTCACTATTCCAAAAAGAAGATGACCTTCCTCAACTTCATGGAGGATTCCTTATCTAGTTCACAGCTACCCATAGATGGGGTTGTAATTTTAAAAAATCATGTAAAAATCCTGCTTTAAGATTAAAGGCACAGCCTAAATTATACCTTAAAAGGTAAAACTAAAGTGTCACCATTTGGGGGAAAGAATTCTGAAACATGAAAAGCCAATTTATGTTAAGGTGGACTATAACTCACATCAGAAATAAGGAACTACAAACAGCTGTTTTCTACTACAAAGCAACGAATTTCTTGTGCTTTCTCAAAATGCCATTTCCTTGATCTTAGTACATTATTTCTGATTTTACGAAAAATGTTGGTCTTGAAAGAATACAGGATAGGGATTTCATAAACCCAAAAATGAGATTGTAGCTTAGATGGATAATAAAGCACCACTCTATGACCTTTGTTCTTGGCGTGACACTTAATACTCATGGGGGAATATTAAAAACAGGAAACCCTAAAGGGAAAGACAGCAGGAAATTGTTAAAGTTGGTGCTTTATTAGTCTGGCCTATATTGCTTGAGAACAGGCAGCCATTAATGACTCCTAAAATTTCTATCTTTATTAACAGCAATAGGAATAAATAGTAAGAAGCCTCAAGAGCCAAGGATTAAGTGTGTTCTCTGCAATTATTCAGTTTTTATCTGCCATGGGCTCCAGTAGTCACTTTTCCTCTGGAAAGTTCAGAACTGAGGTAAATCTTTGGAAATAAAGCTCATTCCCTAGGAATGATGAAAAAGTAGGTTTCCAAAATCCCTTTATGACAGAGTCCAATGACATGATTTGAATCTCAGCTAAGTTGGATCCAATTTTCTTTTCTTCATGTCCTGGTTCTTCCTATAAGAATCACAGTCTCCTGTGGAGGGTAAAGGGATTAGAATATAGCTGTCACGATCTTAAAATAAGGACTAAAGTAATTTCTGGTTTGGATTAGTTAACTTTCAAAACTAAAGACTAGGAATCCAGAAATAAGTTACTATTATGGGAAGGGCAGATCCCTCTGTTAATTCTTAACACTAGGTTACAGTAGTGCTTTTAGTAGAGAAAGCTCTTAATGTCAGGACATGCATAGGCTTCCTGCTACAACAAAGGGCTAAAAGAATTGCATCTGCAGTTCTGACTCTCAGTTATCTTCCATTTAAATGCTGCTTAGTTCCTTGGAATGATTCCAGCTACTAAAAAATGAAAGTCACTCCTTTAAAATTACAGAATTAAACCCAGGGTCACCCTTCAATTTCTGTTCCTAACCACTTTCCTCTCTGCTACCTGTTAGATGTTGGTTAGCAATGTGTGCTTGGGGATGCCAGGGTCCAGATTTTGATTGTGGCTTCTGGTGGCAAAGTCCTTCTGGAGTTTTGTTCCGGGTAACCACGTGGTTGTTCGGTGCTGGTGTGGCAAGTGTCTCAAGTGGTTCTGGTTTAGGCAGTAGCTTGATAATGTCATCTAAATCTGGAGTCAGATCCCACATTTCAAGATTGTCTATAAAGAGAGAGATCACAGAAAGATGCAATATCAGCAAATAGAAAAGAGTTTGTACATAGAGCAACAGAAAATTTGGTCATGAATTCCATGCTTTGGGCATCTTAATAATTTTTCAAATTTCTCTCTCCTTTTTCCCTAAAGGTACACTGAAGCTTCCCTCAGTTAGGAGCAGAAGATGTGCTATCACTACTTTAAGTCTACTCTGGGTCTTCCTTTCCCACTTTTCTCAACTTTATGGGCCTCTATAAAACAGATCACATTGGGATTTTTATGCTACTTTTCATATGTATTCAGTGACTACCAAAAATATACAGCACAGTAACTTAAAAAGATTTCATAGGTTTTTACTGATTAATATTTCAATCATTCTGTTGGTCTCTACTGACCTACAAGGGAGTCTTTCTCTGTGAATAGTTCTGGAACAGCAGTCACAGGAGTGCTATGCCTCGGAGGAGCCGGCAGCTCTGCTACAGTTCATATGAAAGAGGACAAATCACAGAATCATGTTAACTAAATGTAATTTAATAGATTCAGTCAACTAGTTACAAGAGCCTTTTCTCACCAATGTGATAAAAGATGTATATATTTCACATTGAATAAAAACAATGGCTCTACTTGTCTGATAAATGATGAGGAAAAGTCTGTTTTTCCCACATTAGTTTCAATCTGACAGTGCTGAGAATATAAATGAAGCAAGTCCTTGAATCTTCTTAATTCTTGGGGAAAGCTGGGCAAATGCTCAGTTGTGCTAAATAAGTCCCATTTTTATTTCTATTCTCTGGGCAAGACCAAAAAAAAAAATGTGTTGTTGTAAAGTGCCATTGAGTCTATCTGAAATCACAATGACCCTGCATAGGGTTTCTGAGGAGTGGCTGGTGGGCTTGAATAGTCTATAGCTTATCCTACAACGCCACACTAGGACTGCCTTGCTAAATTAGGTATCTCATATCCCCACTGATAAGGGCAAATAATCTGCCAAAAGCTCCTGTTCTCTCCAAACACAATTGTACTTTACATATATTTAAAGATAGCTATATACAATGCTGTGGCGTTGGGGGTTACTGTGCCAGACTGCAAAGCTATTTGAACTGCAAGGTTGGCAGTTCAAGTTCACCAGTTGCTTCTTGGAAACCCTATAAGGGTCGCTATGAGTTGAAATTGACTCGACAGCACTTAACAACAACATATATGGTGCTATAGGATAAGACCTGGGCTGTTAACTGCAAGCCACTCCTTGGAACTGACTAGAAAGCATTTTACAACAAAGAACTAAAAAAAAGCAGCAATAGCCATAGTATCTGAAGCAAAAAAGTCTATAGCCTGAAACTCTTTCATTCTAGACTATTATATGAATGTCCTCCCCAATAAAAGATCAGTATCTTAAGTAATGGGGAAAATTGTGACAGGATAGTTACTCTTCTATCCTGTGTGTAATCCATGAAATCCTAGTGGAGTCTGGTTTGGACCCAGTCACACTGTTACTAACAGATAAGCAGGTGACCCCATCCACCAACCTTCCACCTTCAGAATGTACCTCCCCAGGCCTCTTTCCATCTCACACACCCTCACTTTTCAGTGAAGAGAGAAGATATTGAACCTTGCTGCTGTTTCTCCATTTGCTCCCGAAACTGCTGTTGCAGCTGTTTTTGTCGGCGCTTCCGCTGGTGCGTGGCATCACTCTCCACAGCAGATGAGTTCACACTTCTGTGCCAGAAGAGACACAAGGTAGGAATAAGTTCCTGAGGGAGTATATAGACCCACTTGCTGGTTCTGAAGGTTGAAGGGAACCTGGAGCACAGGAGAAGGGGTGGAAGAGAACAGAGAGAGAACTTAGGCCCCTACCGGGAGGTGCTATCCTTATCCCCATGTATCACAATGTGGGGATCGTCTGAGTGGCCTGGTCTGCAAGGGGAGGTCACCACCCGAGGCTCGTGGGGTACCAGAGCCATGTTCCGTCGGCAACTGCTATATCTTGCTTGTTCCACAGATGGTTCAAAATCTTGTCTCTTTGCTTTGGTTAAATCCACTTCAGGAGGCAACTAACAAAAAAAAAGAGAAAAAGGAAAAAAAAAAACTTCCTCCAACTGCTCTTCCCCTTCCTTTCTTTTCCTCTTACAGATCTAGATTCTCAATCCCTAGAAAATGGCAATTGACAATCCTCTATTCATCATTTCTGGGTCCTAAAAAGCCAAAACAAAGGATCCACAACTCCCAAGTTACACTGTTAAATACATGCGAAGTAAAACCATTTTATTTACTACTTATAGCCTACTGTATTGTGACAAAGCAATCCTCCTTTGGTTTTGATTCAGGGTAAATGGTCTATGAAATATAACTTGAATTTTTCCTTAGAAGCTAGATGCTGTCTCCTTCTTATCCTTTTTTCCCCATGGAAATGATCGGGTATAGTCTCTGGGAGGCCTATTCCATATCTAAGGAGCTTTACGATAAGCACTAGACTGCTAACCACAAGGTTGGCAGGTCAAACCCACCAACCACTTCATGGGAAAAAGATGAGGCTTTCTGCTTCTGTACACATTTACTGCCTCGGAAATCCTATAAAGGGTCACTATTAGTCAGAATCAGCTGGATGACAGCAAGCTCTTTATACCATCTCTACACCTTCTACGCCCTGCAAATACAACACTCATCACTGAAGAAGTCTCAGGAATGCTATGGCACAAGTATCCTTCAAATGACAGGAAGAAGAAAACTTGGAAAGTAGTGACTCAGGCTGCCAGCTAAAGCTACAGGGGCCCCCTGATTTGGGATGGTTCCTACATTACACCAAGTGAGAAATGTAGGAACTGTGTACTTCATGGCATATGGCAAATGATTTTACTTCCAGGCCATGAGCAGTGAAGAAACCCAGATCCTTCTTACTGGGAGGATTTCTTCCTCAATTCATAATATTAATGCTGGTAGAATTAACTGTGTGAATATGAGTGACTGAGGTGACTAAATTTTGATAAAGATAACCTGGAAATTATAGTGTAGGTATTTTATCTACACTGAAAAATAAACAGGTTAAAAAGAAACAGAACTTGAGTCTCTAAGTCAAGAGCTGTGAAAGATATGGAATAATCAGAGCTCTTGCACACTGCAATATGGAAGTACAAACACATTGAAAAACTGGGGAGTCTACTAAACCTATGTCATTTTGTTAAGTGCCACCAAGTCGGTTCCAATTCATAGCAACCCTGTATAGGGTTTCTGAGGAGTGTGGCTGATGAGTTTGAACTGCCGACTTTGCGGTTCAAAGAGACCCCACAGTCCAATGCATTATCCTACAATACCACACTATGACCATATTAAGACCCAAATCCACACACACTGCCATCAAGTCAAGTCCAGCTCATAGCAACCGAGGGTTTCACAGGGTTTCCAATACTATAAATATTTACAGGAACAGGCAGCTTCATCTTTTCCCCATGGAGAGGCTGCAGTTAACAGCCCAACACCTAACCCACAGAATCACCACAGCTCCTTACACCTACATAATTCCCAAGATAAGACACATGTACCGATGTTAATAAGCTTGCTGTGACTATTGTTAAGTACCAGCCAGTCAGTTCAGACTTATAGCAACTCTGTATAGGGTTCCCCAGGAGTAGCTGATGAGTTTGAACTGCCAATCTTGTGGTTCAGACTGACCTTGTGGTCCAGTGCTTTATCCTGCAGCACCACACCAGAACTCCATGGTAATAGCAACCCTACTCAAAACAGCCAAAGGCTGAAGGGAAAAAAATAATTAGACTGCTAACTGCAAGGTCAGAGGTTCAAACCTACCAGCCTCTCCTTGGAAACCATATACAAGGTCACGATAAGTTGGAACCAACTCAATGGCACATAACAACAACAAAGAACAGAAAAATAAAGTAACGTATAGACTATGATAAGTGGCATCAGGATTGGAGGAAGACTCATTAACAACCTACAATATGCAGATGATACAACCTTGCTTGCTGAAAGTGAAGAGGACTTAAAACATTTATTAATGAAGATCAAAGAGCATAGCCTTTGGTATGGATTACATCTCCGTAAAGAAAACAAAAATCCTCACCACTGGACCAATAAACAACATTCTTATCAATGGAGAAAAGATTGAAGTTGTCAAGGACTTCATTCTTCTTGGATCAATTATCAACACTCATGGAAGCAGCAGTCAAGAAATCAAACGACATACTGCATTAGGCAAATCTGCTGCACAAGACCTTTTTAAAGTGTTAAAGAGCAAAGATGTCAGCTTGAGGACTAAGGTGCACCTGACCTAAGCCAAGGTGTTTTCAATAACCTCATGTGCATGTGAAAGCTGGACAGTGAATAAGGAAGACTGTAGAAAAATTGATGCTTTTGAGTTACGGTGTTGGAGGAGAATATTGAAAGTGCCATGAGCTGCCAAAAGAACCAATAGACCTGTTTTGGAAGAAGCACAGGCAGGGTGCTCCTTGGAGGCCAAGATGGCCAAACTTCGTCTCTCATACTTTGGACATATTGTCATGAGGGACCAGTCGCTGAAGAAGGATATCATGTTTGGTAAGGTGGAGGGCCAGAGAAAAAGAGGAAGACCCCCAATGAGATGTATTGGCCAAGTGGCAGCGTGGATGGACTCAAGTGTGGCAACAGTAGTGAGGTTGGCCCAGGATTGGGCAGTGTTTCATTCTGCTGTACATAAGGTCACTATGGGTCGGCACCAACTCGATGGCACCTAACAACAACAACATAAAATATGCAATAGAAAATTATACAGCAATGAAAATGCTGTAGAAAATGTGAATCTCACAAACATGCTGACTCAAAGCCAAACACAAAAGAACTAATCTACGTTGTTTGAAGTGATTTTTCTCAGTACTGGTGGGGGAGACTAGTGGCTAAGAGACACATGGAGACTTCTGAGATGCTGAAATGTTCTGAGTCTTGGTCCAGATACTGGTTACATGACTGTGATAGGATTTAAAATTCATCAAGCTGAACATTTATGATATGTGCACACATCGGCATGCCTGTAAGTGCTTTCTAATACTTCAATGTGTTAAAGTACAAACTGTACAGTTCCATTTATATAAAGGTAAGAAATAAGAAAAATAGGCTAAAAGTCAGAATAGAGAAGGTAATTGTCACTTTAGAAAAATGCAGGATGGTGAATGGATGTGGGCCTCTAGGGTATGGTAATGTTTCCTTATCTGGGAGGCAAACAGCTATGTTCACTTATGACAGTTCTTCAGGCTGTGCTGTTAGGATCTCTGCAGCCTTCTGTGTATATGCTGTAATGCATTCTGAAAGCTCAACAAAAAGGAAAACATGGACCTTGACTGATGCAATTGGTACACATCCCTACTTAGGATTTCACAAGAAAATGAATCCCTCAGTTAGAGATGGGGGTGCAGTACCAGGCAGCAGAACTGCAGGCATCTCCAAGAATGATACTCTCCTCTCCAGTGGGCAGCCGAGCACTACAGAGCTTGACGGAGCCCAGGGATGCTAAACTCTCCAAACGCAGATGCTCAGAACATGTGAGAGCGCAGGCAGACACCAACGAGAGCTAAAGGTTAAAAGACATAAGAGCTAAAAGTCTGAAAAACAAGGTTTGAACAGGTGAGGTTCTGAGTGTTTCTAAGAACTCACAGGCTGCTAGGGAGGGCTTTTGGACAGGTTTCACAGACATCTCAGTGTTCTGTGTCTGAGACAGTGACATCACTTTTCTCAGCCTCAATTTCTACATATGTAAAATAAGAGAGTTGGTTCCTGCTAGCTCTAACATTCAGAGAGGTCACTTTCCTGGCCTTCTAAATAGCTGCGTCCTCTGTTCTTCCCCTTCCCCTTAGTCCCTCCCCTACAAATAAACAACCCATGACACGTGGGAGTCAGATCATCTTTTCTCTATTCATCTATTTCCAGCATACCTGGCGTGGAAGCTTATTTAGTGATCTCAGATAGTCTTTGTCCAGAATACAATTTCCAAGTGCATTCCCAAAACTCCTAAGGGTAAGGAAAAAAGTGAAAACAGGATTGAGAGTCGTTACTTTTGAATCTCAAAGAGCAGAGTCACAACCTTTGTACAACTTGCTTCTCAACTACAGAAGAGGAAATGGACATTCACCCTCGGTGAATGTTTACTGAGCATCTGCCATGTTCCAGCCCGGGTGTGGAGCATACGGCAGTAAGTATCACAGACAAAACCCCCTGCCCTCAAAGAAAGGCAATGAGCATGAAAAGACTAAATAGGGATTCAAAAATCCCACTAGCTATCTTCTGATGTAGAACACATTCCAGAGCAGTATTCTTTTCCAAGGTCTGCTATAATTCCCAGTTAAGAATGAGTTATACACTTACGGGCTCACTCTTTCACGACCAAATTTCTTTACTTGGGGCATATGGAATCCCTCCCATTGGATATGATAATGCAAATTGTAGTGCATGTTTATAACATGTAAGTGGGTAAGTCAAAAGTATTGCTACAGAATCATAAGAACCTTTATTAAACAAAATATCAAAATGCAAAGCTATTGTTTCTCAGTAGATCCTCCATCTAAGGCTATACGTTTCTGAAGGCAGTGTTTCCCATCTCTCTAATCCTTCCCCATCTGGCACGGTAGTAAATAAGCACTAGACTGCTAACCACAAGGTTGACAGTTCAAACCCACCAGTTGCTCCTTGGAAACCCTATATGGTGTCACTGTGAGTTGAAACTGACACAACAGTACTTCACAACAAAAACAATTTGGTTATCTTTGAGGGGCTCAAATCATGTTCATTTTCAAGGTTCTTTTAGTTTCAGGAACAAAAAGAAATCTGAAAGGGGCAAGATAAGGGCTAAGAATTTCCCAATAAAATTCTTGTAGGACAGCCCTTGGTGCCTTCAAAGAATGAGCAGGTAGACTGTCATAAAACAAAGAAATTCCTCAACACAACTTTGCTAGCCTTTTCCTCACCAATGTAGTTGTCAATATTTTTAAACATTTTTATAACAAACTCTCATAATTGTCCTGTGTCCTTCAAGAAAATCTATCAAGTTTACCCCTTGGCATCTCAAAAAACAGTCACCATAACCTTTTGACCACTCTGCCTGAAATTTAACTGGCTCAGCAGATCCTCTAGGAAGCCACTGTTTTGATTGGAACTTTTTTTTAAAAGGCACCCTGATGAGAGAACGTGTCTGCAGCCATCCACTGATTGCAGAGACATGTTTAAACATGTTTTGTTAGAATAAACCCATGCATGTATAAATTGGAACGTTAATAGCAATTGTTTTTCATATACCCTCATGTTATTGTTGTTGTTAAGTGCTGTCAAGTCAGTTCCAACCCATAGTGACCTTGTATAGGGTTTCCGAGGAGCGACTGGTGAGCTTGAACTTCCAACCTTGCAGTTCAATTCACTTCAATTCTGAATTGGCTTTATGGCCCACAAAAATGGTTAAAATTCCTACTCTAGTAAACCGTTACCTATACACAATGAAGAGCTCTTTAGGTGTGTTACAGAGAACAAGGGAGCTATCCAGGTACTTAAAAGGAAAGGTCTCCACGGTCTGTTACTAGGTGGAAAAAAAAAAAAAATACACACACAAGCAAAAAGAAGTGACAGAATAGAAAATATAATATTCTACCACCTAAAACAGGAAGAGCTAAGCACAAAGAAATACGGGGAAAATACAAAAGGGAAACAGACAAGCCTGAGACTAGAATGAGAATGACACTGCTTTTTTTAAACACAATTTTGATGTTTGTTTCAAATAAATGTGACCCCGTTTCCAAAAACACTGCTTTGAAAAACAAAAGCTGAAATGAAGCAAGAGAAACTGCAACTCTTTTTGCTTACCTGAGTGCTCGCTTCAACCCATCTGTTACTGCCTCCTTCCTTGCCTTCTCCAAGGATAAGGCCTTTGACTTGAGGCCCTCACTAACACCGTAACCCACATCTTCATGATAAGAGCCATCCTAGGGGAAGGAAAGGAGTTAAACTTCTAACATGAGAAGCTGCCCTGAGTCCCTAGCTCCATAGGCTCCTTAAGTTGTTATGTGCCGTGGAGTTGGTTCCGACTCAGTGACACCTGTACTGGGTTTCCGAGGCTGTAAATCTTTATGAGAGCAGAAAGCCTCTTTCTCCCGCGGAACAGCTGGTAGTTTCAAACTGCAAACCCTGAGGATAACAGCCCGATTCGTAACCACTATGCTATCAGAGCTCCTTGAGTAGTAGTGTTCAAACAAGGTTATAAGTATGCCCCAGGACCCTGGCTAAAGAGTACATGGGCACAGGTAGCTGTCAGGAAATCAGTCTCGGGAACAGCAACTTCCTACGTACTGCTTCTAGCCCTGATCTGCCTAGAAATGTGCTTGTGTCAAGGGATTAAGTATAGAGTCCCGGTGTGATGCTTTAGGATAGGCACTAGACCACAGGCCAGTTTGAGCCACAAGATCAGCAGTTCAAACTCACCAGCCACTCCTCAGAAACCCTATACAGGGTCGCTATGAGTTGGAACCAACTCAACGGCACTGAACAACAACAATCCTCAAGTATGACACCTCTGGGACACCAAACAAAGGCATAATGTGAGCTATCACATCTAAGACTGAATAGCAAATCCTTTTGCAAGTCCATTTCTTGGCTTTCACCAAAAGTGAGGGCAGAGCTCATCAACTTGACAAATAAATAATATTTTTTTATTACAGCACAATATGATTTATGGAATAAAACTCAAAGTAGTCACAGAAATGGGTGACACTGTGGTAGCAAAACTTTCTATCCTCAGCTAGTTACTTACATGAACAAAGGTTTTCAGTATTATTTATGAAAATAAGAAGTCAAAATAGAGTTACTGTGCAAGGTTCAACTGTGGCTATGAAATAAGACGAAAAACAAACAAAAAATCCAGCACCATTCACAAATGCATTCTCCATAAAACTTTTTAAAATAATTAACAAATTTTTTATATAATTATGTTGTATTTTCAACATAAGCATAATTATCTGATCAAGTGTGTTAATCAGAACTCTAATAATAATTCAACCCAGAAGAATATTTAAAATATTTAGAGCCTAAGGTCACTGGAAATCTCAAAAAACAAATATATGTTTATACACACATTCACTCACACATAAAGGCAAAGAAGTTTGATAAGGTATCAATCAAAGATGTTCACTCAGAACCAAATGTATTAGGATAAAAGTTGAGGGGAAAGTGAAATAGAAATATGAGTTCAAACAAAGTAAACAACATGTAAATTCCTGACCACTAAAGTATAGCTTGCTCATTTCTTTTCTTATATGGATGACAGTATTTAATTCCCTTTGGTATTCACATTCCACTGGTACATTTAAGAGATGTCACCAATTTATTTTATTTCAAATTTTATACTATGCCAAAAGATAAAATCTTTGCCACTACTTACATTTAGGGTGAAATTTTTTAAAGTCAACTTGAAAATGTTCATGGAAAAGAGAGAGTTTTCCAAAATTCTTATAGCGAACACATGAACAAAATTGTTTGAGCTCCACCATGTTAGGGAACACTGGCTGAGATACACATCCAGGCAGACCTGTGGTGGGAGGAGCTAGCTTTCTAGCTTGGTTGTGCCGCAGGCAGGAGCCCTCCTACCTACTCACTCCCTCCACCACTTGCATAGCCTTTCCAGGCAGCAGGTCTACTCCATCTCCCTTACCTTCAACTGGACCTTTACAAATGCACAGACTCCTACGTAGAACTTGCCATTGTTGAGGTCAACAAAATCTAGGAGTGGAAAAGAGAAGAGGATGAAGAAGGTTCTGATCCCTGTGCCTCACCTGGACTCCTGCTGGCAACCAAACATACCTACCTACACCCTCACCCGCAAACCACTACTGTCAGAAACTAGACAACACCAACGAAGGGGACTGAAGATGTTATCAATGCCAAGAAGCATACTCACCCACATTCTGCTGTGTAACAGAGTGTGCCCAGCCATTGTAACCAAACATCTCATTGGCCAGATTAATTACTCTATGACCCTCAATGTAACATACCTGGGGGAAAAGTTAAAGAACAAAGGTTACAATAAAATTGCAAGTTGCATTTAGATGTGGCTCAAAATTTATATAATTTATTCCTCATCTGATTTTTTGGCAAAACTGCCCTAAAACATTCTCAAGAAATTCCCAATGAACTTATTTCAAAGACCTTCTGAAGAAGCCCACCAAACTAATGGTCTGCCTTGTGGGAGAGACAAGAACCAAAGGGAAAGCTATCCATTCACCTAGCATAATACAATTTCCAAAATGCTGACCCTGAAATTAAATTAGATGCAAAAGACAAATTTTTTAAAAGAGGGTATAAAACTCCTAGAGTGACAGGTCTCAAAGCAATGCATGAGCCAGTTCAGATGACAAGGAAGAATGGAACCCATCCTCCCCTCCCCAAGGGACTGGGCTCTAGGAAACACCCAGGAACAGTGAACAAAACACCTTCTGAATCCCAGAGGACCCAGAGATAATCAGAAAGACCAGGTGAGTACTCTGCTATAGGTTGCCCTCTCCCTAAGCATGTAAACTTGCCTACCTTCTGGCCTCCTCCAGCCATGCGACTGCTAATATACTCTGGGCCGAGCCGCTGCCTCAGGGCATTCTGGATGGCCTGGTACTCTTCTGCTGTGTACTGGCACTATAATCCAGAAAGAAAATATTAAATTTCCACTACGCCTTATATCAAGGAGCTCTAGTAGCGTAGTGGTTATGAATCGGGCTGCGAACCACAAGGTCAGCAGTTCGAAACTACCAGCTGTTCCATGGGAGAAAGATGAGGCTTTCTGCTCCCGTAAAAATTTACAGCCTCGGAAACTCTGTACAGGGTCGCTATGAGTCAGAACAGACTTCACGGCACATAACAACAACAACAATTCCTTCTATCAGTGATTCTTCCAACTTTTATTGAGGACCCAAAGAGCTTTGATTGATAATGTGTTATATTTACCAGTATGTACCTATGAGAAAGTGAAACTAAGAACTGTTTAAATCACATACTCCATCAGCCATCAGAACAATGATACACAGTTGTGCAGCCTCTGAAAAACTCCACCATATCCTTGTGAGATAATATGAGAACACAAAAAGTATTTCTAGATTATAATAAAATTGTTTTGACCTCAAGGACTCTAAAAGGGTCTTAAGGATCCCCAGAGGCTCCTGGAATGCATTTTTAGGACCACTGCCTTAGATGCTACTACCATCCTTACAAAACTTTCTCAAGTTAGAAGAGTTTCAGCTTCAGATTCTCTTTGTGACATTTACATGGGAAAGGAAAAATGGGAAGGGGATATATGAGTGGAAGTCTTGCTCCTATTTATCCTGTCGAAAGTTTTATACTTTCTTCTCCAAATCAACACCTTCACATAGCTATACACTACTACATGTTGTTTTCATTCTTGTTTCCGTGGCAGTTTTCCTCTTTCCCTATTTAAATGCAATGAATACTCACAAACAAATCTCTACTTAAGACAGAGTTTGAGTGGTTAAAGCAATATCTTTTTATGCACAGACTATCTCTACAAAGATACCATAACTTTGAATGCACTGAAGAAAGAAACTGAGTGGCACATGGACAGGAGTAATAGGAAGGTAGGGAGACTTTTCACATATTTTCTTTTCTTTTAAATTTTAATTCATATGAGCATGTTATCTATCAAAAATTAATTCAAATTCAACCCAAAATTTAATCCCCTGAACTATTAGTCTTATAAAGTTAAAATTCCAAAATGCCCTCAGAGTTCATCAAAACCAGAAAAAAGCCAAACTCACTGCCATCTAGTCAATTCTGCCACATAGCAACCCTTACAAGGTTTCCAAAGCTGTGAATCTTTATGGGAACAGATAGCCTCAGCTTTCTCCCACAGAGCAGCTGGTGAGTTTGAACTGCTGACCTGTGTTTAATCTACAGTGCCAGCAGAGCTTTTTAGAGTTCATCAAAGACCCTCTAGTAGTACAGATAAAGGAAAGCCCCATTACAATACCTTCCTTACACTCATGCAAGAAGATGCTCTCCCTCAGACAGTGTCTCATTTAACTTCACTTTTTTCAGATATTAAAGAAACCAATTACCTGGCCAAAGCGTAATACAGAGCTACCACCTGCTGAAGAAGGATAGCTGTCACGGCTACCAGGAACTGCTTCCTCAACCCCAGACATGTTGATTCTGTCAGACCTTTAGGTAAATAAAAGGTTTTTATGTTTTTGTTTTTGTTTTTTTTAAAAAGATGCCAAAGAATACTAAAGGTACATAAAAGAGTAGAAGCCTCTTAAAATTTTCAGACAAAACATACAATATTCTTTGAGTTATTTTATTTAGTTATTAGTTTCATATACTTATGAACACTGACACATCAAAGAGTAACTTGCTCAGGGCTTAACTAAGCTTTGCTAAGCCCCTCAAGCTCCTCTAGGTCTACCTCTCCCAATCTGTCAAAATGTATGCTACGATGATGGTGCTATTTAAGGTGATTTTTATAATGAGAATGTATTACAATCACAACTGGAAAAATCAAAATTACAAAAATACTCTTTAAGGGTACACAATCAGCTCATTAATACCTACTCTGTGGTCAACTAACACTAGTCGCTATGGAGTAAATGTGTGTGTGTACATATATATGTAGGTACATACATACATGCATATGAAGGGGCTTCAAAAAATTTGTGGAAATTTTCCATTATTTTTCGATTCTATTTTTTCATGAACTTTCTGAAGTCCCCTCATATAAGCTACAGTAACTGAACTTCTTTTCCAGAGTTAACAAGCTAGCTGAGGGAGAAAAGACTAACCAATATGAAGAAATCAAGGCAATATCAAAACCCCTAACATTCAGAAGAATAGATCATAAAACCCATTTGGTTCCTGAACCACCAGCGTCAGCATCACCTGGAAACACATTAGAAATGAAATCCTCAGACCCCACCACAGTCTTAACAAGGCCTCCAGGTGAATTTAATGCATGCACAAGTTTCAGAACAATGCATTAGACTAGGACTACACAAATTTATAGTCCTTTAGAAAATATATTTACCCTCAGAAAAAACATGTACAAGTAGATGACCACTTACCCATCCCACTCCCCACAACCCCATGACTCAATACCCGTGACCCAAGGCTCAATATGCTGTTTATAAGAGACATATCAAAAAGATGAAGACAGCCTAAATGCTCAACAGAAGAATGGTTAAACAAACTTTGGTATATATACATAATGGAGTACTATGAAATACTGAAGAATAATGATGAATCTGGAACCGACTCGACGGCACTTAACAACAACAACAATGATGAATCTGTGAAACATCTCACAAGATGGATGAACCTGGAGGGCATTACGTTGGATGAAATTAGTCAATTACAAAAAAAGACAAATGTATGAGATCAAGAAACAATCTATGATAGTTACAGGCGGAGTGGGAGGGAAAACTATTCATGGGCAAGAGGGTAGACTCATGTTGACATGGGTGACTGGGCAGGCAATATATAACAGGAGGAAAGATGAAGGTAGCAGGAGATACAGGAAGTTAAAGTACAATAGAGGTAAATAAGCAATACTTAAAGTGAATGCAGGTAGGGCACGGGCAGTGGGGCAGAGCTGGTCCTGTTGAGCTGCTGCTCCGCATGGCCTGCAGTTCCCGGGGCCCGCACCCCATGCCGCCTGCCCGCCATGGGGCCCGACCCTACCACCCTCTGCCGGGTCGCCATCCGCGAGGGCTGGTTTCGCGAGACCTGCAGCCTGTGGCCCGGCCAGGCCTTGTCGCTGCAGGTGGAGCAGCTGCTGCACCATCAGTGCCCACGGTACCAGGACATTCTTGTCTTCCGCAGTAAAACCTAAGGCAATGTGCTGGTATTGGACGGCGTCATCCAGTGCACAGAGAGGGACGAGTTCTCCTATCAAGAAATGATTGCTAACCTGCCCCTCTGCAGCCACCCCAGCTCACGCAAGGTGCTGATAATTGGGCGGGGACGGGGGTGTCCTGCGGGAAATGGTGAAACACCCGTCCGTGGAAGCTGTGGTCCGGTGTGAAATTGATGGTCCAGTGTGAAATTGATGAGGATGTCATTCAAGTCGCTAAGAAGTTCCTGCCAAGTATGGCTGTTGGCTACTCCAGCTCAAAGCTGACCCTCCATGTGGGTGACGGTTTTGAGTTCATGAAACGGAACCAGGATGCCTTCGATGTTATCATCACTGACTCCTCAGACCCCATGGACCCTGCCGAGAGCTCATGAAGAACCCCCTCAAGGAGGACCGCATTCTCTGCTGCCAAGGCGAGTGCCAGTGGCTGCACCTGGACCTCATCAAGGAGATGAGGCAGTTCTGCAGATCGCTCTTTCCGGTGGTGGCCTACTGCACCATTCCCACCTACCACAGTGGCCAGACCAGCTTCATGCTGTGCAGCCAGAACTCGAGCACCAACTTCCAGGAGCCTGTGCAGCCCCTGACGCAGACTTAGGTGGAGCAGAGGCAGCTGCGATACTACAACTCCGACTTGCACCGGGGGACGCCTTTGTGCTGCCTGAGTTTGCCCGTAAGGCCCTGAGTGATGTGAGCTGAGCCCCGAGCTGCCTCCACCACTGTCACCCAGAAACCTCGGACCAGGGAGCCTCAGGGTATCCGGGGCTCCCCAGCCCCACACAAGGCCCTCTGCGGGCTCTCACCCACCAACCAAGTATTACCAGCCCCAGAATGCTGCACTGTCACTTTATCTTTCTCTCTGTAGCATCCAGCCTCCAGCCTAAATCAGCTGTAGACAGCGCCTTCTCTGCCTTCTGTCCCCTCGTTCACCAAACATGTGTATTTACAACAAAAAAATAAAAATTAAAAATAAAGTGAATGAAGGTTGTTGTTGTTAAGTGCCATTGAGTGGTTCCGACTCATAGCGACCCTGCACAGGGTTTTCCGAGGCTGTAAATCTTTACGGGAGCAGAAAGCCTCATCTTTCTCCCGCGGAACAGCTGGTAGTTAAATACTGTTTTAAAAAAAAAGTTAAATACTGTTAACTGTTGGTACTTGGAGGGGATCGCAATCATTGTAATGAAGCAAAGTATATAATTTGCTGAATGTAAAACTGATGGTGTGCTCTGTTAACCTTCACTCAATTCACAACAAAAAGTTTAATATTATAGTTTTTTAAAAAATTCACCAAATATGTTAAATAGCCTATTGAAGATTAAAGAGAAGAACTGCTGCATTTAAAAAAACTGATAATATCGTACAATTAAGTAAGAAAGAAAAAAGAATGAAAATAATAAGAGACTTAAGATTCCTCTGGGATAAGATTAAAAGACGTAACACACATGTAATTGAAGTTCCTGAGAGGTGAAAGAGAATGGGGCAGAAAAAATATTTTTTTAAAATAATGACTCCAAACTTCCTAAATTGGGTGACAGATTTAAATCTACAGATCTAAGAAGCTCAGTAATACTTATGCAAGATAAGTGCAAAGAAATACACACCTAGACACACCACAGTCAAACTGCTGAAAGCCAAAGATAAAATCTTGCCATTCCATGAGAAACAACACATTACAGAGTAACAGTGACACAAATGACAGCTCCAGTTACACAGGTAAAAAATGTAAGTACTTAGGAGTAAATTTAACAAAAGATATGTAAGAGCTCTGTACTGAAAACTACAAAAGAGTGCTAAGAAAAATTAAAGACCTAACTGAAAACAGAGATGTATCATGCTCATACATTTGAAGAGTCAACATTGTCAAGATATCAATTCTTTCCAAACTGACCTATCGATTCAGTGCAATCCCATAAGACTTTTTTTTTTGTGTGTGTAGAAACAAAGATGATTTAATAGTATATGGCAATACAAAGGATCTAGACTATCCAAATCAGTCTTGAAAAAAAGAAAGAACACAGTGAGAATACCTACACTACATGACTTCAAGGCTTACTATAAAGCTACAGTAATGTAAATGGAATGGTGCTGACATAGGATTGACTAATGGATCAATGGGATAGAAAAGATAGCCAAAAAATCGCCTGCATTTAAACAAAGCACAAATGCATACCCATTTGACCTAGCTTGGACAGCTAAGTAACCAGAACTCGACCAGATTGAAGCTATCTTTGATACTGTAAGCAACTATAAATTGCTACAATTTGATGAACTAGATCTTTGCTTATGGATGCAGTTGCTCAAAATTCCAACCGGAATGGAAAGATTCTTCATATCAAGGAACAAAGAAAGACAGCAATTTAGACACTGTCTATCCAAAAGGGGTGGGGGGCACTAAAAAGGTATGAAGTAGCTGGCTTACATGCTTTCATGAGTGTGGTTCGTTTCAGAATGAGGGGATTAAATTGGAATCCCCACTAAATAGTTTCCCTCTTTTCCAGAAGGATCTGGTGAAAGGGGATGGAGGATAATGCTGATAGGATTTTATCATTCTGTTGGGAGTAATTGTTAGCAGGATTCATTGTGATTGTCACAACTGTAATTATAGCTGTGTAACTAAAGAGAGCAGTAGTTAATCTTTCATTTCAAGAACCATCAAGGATCCCAGGACCATCAAGAAGGAAGAGCATGAGTGAGTGTGAGATCCTACCTAGAAAAGTGGTGAGAGCAGAGATGGTGGCAGAGGCAACGGTATGGAGAGACAGAGCAGCTGTGGGCTCTAGGCCCATGAAATGAGAAAGCAATGCTGTGTGCCTTCAGTCAAAAGGCTGGCTTGCAGATGTGCCTTCTGGACATTTAAATGAACATAGATATTTTTTGTTTTGTATATGTACATCAAATATTTTTGCTTTGCTCATTTATGGAATATAAGATGTAAATGGGGAGCCACAGGAAGGAAGTAGGAAAACTGTTTTTGCAGGAAGGGAATTGTAATCATTGACATGAAACAAAACGTATTATCTGTTGAATGTAAAAATGATGATCTTGTCTGTAAACTTTTACTCAATTAACAACAAAAGGTTAAAATACACAAATGCAATATAATGGGAAAAGTCTATGCAAAAAAGTAGTATTAGAACAACTGGATATTTACATGGAGGAAAACAAAATTAACATTGAACACAAAACACCTCACAAAAACACCATTCAAAAAACCAGAAATGGGTCCTAGGCCTAAGAATGAAAAACTTAACACTATAAAGTAATAATCATAAAAGAAAAACATAACAAAATAAAAATTTT